AGATTTGGCGAATGCATTTTTGGTATACGCAATTTCTCACAATGTCCATAATAAAGGTCACACAGTGTTGGTGCTATTTATGATTTATTCTTTAATATAATTGAAATATTTATATTTTGAGGGTGAAATTTCGATTACGGCGCTTTTAAATTTCATGGCTGAATTTAAAAGTTTAATATACGCTATGATTAATACTGATATTTGATATCCTAAATAAAAATTCAGGATTAAGGAGTGAAATATTACAATAATATCTTATCTTCAGGCTTCCTCTAAATCATTTATCTATTTATTCGAGCCAATCGCTGTAATATTCAACTTTAAAGTATTACAAGTTTAAAAGTGAAATATCAGTGATTTTCATCTTATAATTGTTATTTTGAATAAGTTATTGTTCTAATTCATTAAGTTATACAAACTTATAATAAAAATATGTTATTATTGATTACTTTATCAATTCAGTATGTAATGAAAGATATTAAATTGATATAGTGATCATGTAGAAAGATAATCATTATCACTTATCAGTATTGATGGAATTGACAAAAAAACTTACTAAGGCTGAATATCTATACTAAATTAAAATCATGATCAATAATTGATGCGTTAATTAGCCAAATTAATAAATAATTTTGCTTAGTTCATTAAAATTAATTAAAAAAATTTGCTTTAGTTTTGGCGGCATTCTTGATCGAGTTATAATTATTCTATTTTTTCAAATGTTGATTTACTAAACTAAGCAAATGTATTATGGTAAATACATTGTACAAAAATTTATTTACTTGTCCTTGATCACTCTGAAAAACTAGCTTATTTCGAGTTAAGCTGGGCTTGAAAATGGTGTTATTGAAGATGAAGTTCGGAATCAGAATTACTTTTACTCTCTTTTATATCACTAAAAGGAATTCATAACATGAATACCTCCGACACCAATGGTTGAATTTTCTGAAGGTTAGTATTACTTGATAATATTCAGATTTGCTGAGTATTACCAGAAAGCTAATATTTAATTTGATATTTAATTTTCTTAAGTTGTTATACTACTTTTCTAATTATATATGCATATGTATATTCTAACTAGATTGGTTTCATATTCAACTTTCTCGTAATGTAAATTTTTCAAGTGTTTCGGATTTTTAGGTGATATAGGGATTTATGACTCTTGCTACCTATAGGCCATCTGCCATTCTGCAAATAGCACACAATCCATCTATTATTAATATACCACTTGATTTTTTATTATATCCAACTACTCTGCATTATTTAATATTATACCAATTTATTAAAAATATAAGTCTCAGCAAAAATCACTTTTCTGTCTTATTTATAACAAGTTGACATTTGACAACATCAGCGGTATTTGTGGTATTTTTTTTTGGAACCTGCGGTATTTCTGTACTGATAGTATTTAAATGGTAGGTCATAGGCTACTGAATAGATTTCATTTTATTATCAAAATTTCACTCTCTCATAAAAGTTTATGTATTCAACAGATCTTGAGATTTAAAAAAATTAAATTTTCAATTATGAATCCTAATAAGCAATATAGTAGTTTAAAAAATTGTGTGATATAGTATATCTACTTAAATTATTCTAATTTAATTTGCTTCTTCGCTTAATAACAATTTTTAATTTCTGACTTTAGTATCAGTGATCGCAAGTTTTTTTGTTATCAGTTAACGGTAGTTGATGATAAGATGCAGATTTCTATCGTTCAAATTGGGCAAATATTCATTTTCTCATCTTATTGTTAGAATAATATTGTAAATTTTATTCAGATAATAAGATGAAGAAGTGAAAATAGTTATGATTTTTGTAGTTTAATTGTAATTTATTCATTAAAACGAAAAGCAAACTAAAGTTTGAATAAATTAAATGATAAAATTTAATATAAAATTTGTTAAATATTGCAGCATACAAATTTTATGCTTAATTTTGGATAAATTTAGCTTAGGCAAATCACTGTGTGATAGCTTTAATGCCTAATATGCAAATATAGCACAGATATGATAATTAGTTATCAGTATTATTTAGTATTTTTGTTTGCAAGCAATGAAAAGCTTTTGTTTTATTATAAAATATGTAATAAAATCGAAATTAGCTAATTTTATAATGTAGTTTATTTTTGTAAACAAAAAAAATGCTATCTAATTTTAATTTTATTAGTTAGCAATCATTATTGTTCAGTATTTTTATTTAAAAAGTACCTTTACGGTACAGTATTTGTATTACGGTATTAATTTAAATCCAATAAAACGATACTGTATGATCATATCATATTTTTTTGTAAGCATTGAAGAATTTTTAAGGGTTACTAAATTTTTTGATTTATGAGTATTAAAATAAGAAACAAATCTGAAACTGTAGTTTTTAAATCCTTGTTACTCAGCACATATTTCAAGCGATATAAGGTATATCTATTTTAGACATGGTATAATCGAGCGACATGGAATAAATTATAGACAGTAAAAATCTTACCAATTACAGCAGTGCAAAACACAAGTGTACAGTTATGCTTAACAATAAAATTATTAATGTAATATCTTGTAAGGGTACTGTGATTTTGAAGAAATTTTATTGTGGTATTATTAACATTTTGGTATCTTAGTAATAATTACATTGGGCTGTTCTTAATGTAGTTACTGTTATTTTGGTAATGGTATTATCATTGTTTTGGATGATAACAAGTTCCTTTCAAAGTAACTGACAGCATAGAATAATAAATAATAAAGAGTTATATTGAAAATAAGAGTATTAACATTGAGCTTTCTGATAACTAATAACTACAGCTGGATTGTAGTAACTACCACAAAATACAGTAATCATAATAATAATATATGATATGGTGATTCGGAGGAATAATTATGATATTAATGATAACAATAATAATAGTAAAATTAATAAAGTATTATTCGTGTCATATTAAATTATAAGCAAAAGTTAAAAGTTATTGTGGTTAGTTGCCAAAAGTATTTTTCACTTTTGCTGCAAAGTAAATGGTAAACGTAAACTTTCAACTTTCTTACGTGCTTCTAAGAGAGTATAATGCGTCTTCATGTTGCAATAATATTTGCCTATTCTAGTATTCCCGTGAATTCCGTCAAGTTACTCATTGAAGCATTTTTCTGTAAACATTATGTATCGTTTGTTTGCTAACATTGATTGTGTATTATTCATTACAAATTTTATCGCTGAAAAATGCACAAGTTTTGACTTTCTTATTGATTTATTCACTTTTTTGAATTAAATACACAAATTTAATACTAAATGGTGAAAGTATATAAGATGAAGGTTTAAACGTATATTACATGACCATGTCAAAGGTCAGCAAAAGGATATATCATAAGATTTTTTTTTGTTCTCGAATGATTGACTAGTAAATGTAGTAGCTAATTTGAAGTTAACAGAAAGCAGAAATAATTTTGAGCTAATTAACATATGTAAAGATTGTCGTGAATAATTGCGTTAATCTTTAGTATAATATGTTGGCGTTAATAAAATTATTATAAAAAAGTAATAAAAATATAAGTACTATTACTTTAAAAAAACTGAAGTGTCGTTATTATTAATATCATTTTTGGTGAAGAAAAGTGATAAAAATGTGAGTAATTTTATTATAGGCAGTAAAATCTTTTGCAAAAAATGTCATTTGATATTATTTATATTAAGTCTTGCATTTATCATTTTAAGTAAATTTATGTAAAAATTTAGAGTGTTAAATATTTAGAAGAATATAAATTGCAGAGTGATGAAGAATCAGATAGTGATCCGGAATTAAAGGAACCAGAAGCGAAACGAAGACGTTTTAGCAATTCTACGGAAAATTTAAAAAAATGTGAATCTGATGAATCACTGATTGAACAAGAAGATATAATACCATTTGCGGAAGAAGAATACGAAAGTATTGAATGCAAAAGAATGCCAGAAATTAATGAGTTTGTACTTGATCTATTCCATTGTTGAATCTGAATACTTGTTTTTGAATTGAATAATTATTTGTAAATTTTTTACTTTTTTATTTTTACAAATATTATACGATTATCAGGTATGAGTCAGGTAAGATTATCGACATATTCTAATAATTAGCTATAATGGATAAATTTGAATTTAAATTTTTGAATTAGTATTAGTAGTAATCGTTTTGAAGGATTATTAACTAATAATTAGCTATAATAAATAAATTTCAATTTGCAATGAATAAATTTAAATTTTTGAATTAGTATTAGTAGTAGTCGTTTTGAAGGATTATTAAAAGTAATATTCGAAATTTAGACAAAAACAACAGTCATGGAAAAATGAGCAAAAAGAACAGCTAAGTCAATCAGAATATTCAACGAATTTTACTGGGAGTTCTAGTACTGAACATCATTCGGATGCTGAAAATTCCTGTAATAATATATCAGCAAAAGATGTGGGATTATTGTAAGCTTATTTATTGATTATTTGAATATATCGAAAAAAATTCTAATAAAATTTTGAGAGAAAATCTGGGAGATTTTTTTTTCCATTTCAGTTAGCTGAAATAAAGTATTCTAGCTAAATTTTTTATACAAATTGAATAATAAAAAATTTTGCATAGTAAAAATATCTTATTGTCAGCTATTTTTTTGAAGTAGTTTGGAATTTATATCTAATTTTTCTATCTTAATTTTTTTATATTTCTTATGAATGTTATTTTTCTGGCGAAAAATATTTCTGATCACTGTTTTTCAGATGGTCAAATATTTGATCTTAAAATTGGTGATCATAATTTGCATAAAAGAAAGAAGCTTCTTAGATATATTATGAATTATTATTTCATGCTTTAGCTAAATTATGTTACTAATAGTATGTATAATATGATTAATATGTATATAAGTACTTAAATAAGCATTTCGATTAATAATAAGATTAAACTTGATTATCAAGTTTAATCTTATTATTTGTCTTGCAATTGAAAGTAAAATATAGGTCATTAGTAAAGCATAACAAGTAAATTCTAAGTAATTTGGCTGAAAATATTGTATTTTTTTAAAAGATGGCTTCCTGTAACGGATATCGATGAACAACGACGTCACCGAATACAGTTTTCTCCAGTAAAAAGTTTTTACAAAACAGTGCCATTAGATGAAACAGGTTAGTTTCATTCAAACTATTAAATATGCTATTTCAAGCTTAGAGTATTCTAAATTGGAAATAACCAAATGATTATTTGAAATCACTTGTGTATTTAAGGAGCAACAGATACAGAAACACCACGTGTATCAATGTCAAGTTGGTCTAATGGTGTTGGTGCAATAGGGAATCTAGGATATCCGGTAGATTCACATATACTTACTGATTCTTTAATTGTGAATACTGAGGAAGAAGAAGAGGAAACAAAAATGAATACAAATGATGATATTAAGGTTGATACATTTGTCATTTATGTCACTCTTTGTTTACTATCACATTGAAATTTATCACGTAATGTAGAATTCCTTCAAATTGATAATATTTGATTTTATAGTTTATAAATTCATGCGAGCGAAAATTAAATAAATGTAGATACACGTAAACATAAAAATTTTTAGGAAATACTATCAATGTTGACTGATGATGAAAACGGTAATCCGAAATGGGAAGCGTACGATCAACGTGGAACTCAGTGGAGAGAATTTAAGTATGGTAAAAATCGTTATCAATTACCTTTCAAGCGTAATTGGATTATTGGGAGTGTTGATGATGACAAGGTTTAATTTAAAAAATTTTAATATAATTTAATTCTGGGGAATGATTAGTGATTTGTAAATATATGATGTTGTTGGTGCTACAGGGAATCTAGAATATTCCATAGATTCACACATTGACAAAATGAATTAATCGAATTGTGAATGCTTGTTATGTAGTTTTTTTGTTTCTGATATTCATTTAATTAATGATTGTGATTTAATCGTTATAATTTGCAAATTCATTCAAATGGACTACTAAAAATTGGGATTTTCAGTATTTCTTTCTTGTGAACATGAAATTAATAAAGTTAAAGAGCGTTTAAGATTAAAATACATTTAAGGTTATCTATTAAGTGCAGTCAAATCATAATAATTTAATTTAATAATTATTCAATTTTAGAATTTGACTTAACGCTTAAACTAGATAGTTAAATATATATATATATATATAAATCAAATTTTTGAATTTCATCATTTTAAGCATTCTTGTGATGCATCAAGTGAAGAAAGCGATGATTTACCAACAGATCTGAATGTAATCACGGAAACTACGTCATCTACGCTTCCTGATCTTAGGCCAATTTCTTTGAAAAGACGACGTAGAGGACGATGGAGTGTATCTGACCGCTTTCCATCAATTTCTTCTGTAGCTAAAATATCTAGCGGAATATTACATGTACGTTAATTAATCATTTGTCATATAACTACAATTTTTTACAACTTTCAAGTAATATGAAAAGTTTTGAGATAGTGAATTATTTAAGTTGTATTTCATTTGCAATGTTTATTCATTTTTTTTTCATTTCTTTATTCAGCCATGTGAATTTGCATATGCAAAATTTGCATATGTAAATTTTGCAATAATTTTACAACGTTTATTACATGCAATTTTAGGATATCGATAATACTAAATGTTCTCAAACATGGTCTGAGATTCCTCATACTGATAATGCGAGCGCATCATTAGCATTAATTCGTCCACCTCTTTTACATAATTTTGCTAGTACTTTCCGTGGTCGTGGTAAGCATCAAATTAGGCGCAAGTTGCGTGCTCGGCGTTTTCCACGTTCAATGTCTGATGGTGAACATCTTGGAATTTGTTTAAGTTGTAAGTATTCCTCTTGTGATAGATTTTTACCTAAAAGTTTGTCTCGATGATTTTATGTAGTTGTACTTTGGAGCAATTCATAATTTGCTAATATAATCGGTCTAAGATTATAATTTTTTGCATATTTGTTGGAAAAATAAAACTTCATAATATTTACAGATAATTTTGAAAATTTAAATAATTCTAGCAATATTTAAAGACTTTGAAAATTCGAAGTTATATAAAATTTTCTATCGTTATTGATTTTATTTTCACTTGATAATTCCTCGGTATTTTTACAGCTTCTATGCGTTCAGCGCCTCCCGAGATGTCGGCATCTCACTGGAGTACCACTACTTCTACATGCCTGGACAGCGATGCTACAGGATTTGATCAAAGTGATGCTCCGCCATATGAATGGGATGATTACAAGGTAAATTTTGTAACCTTTCATTTAATGCGTAGTTTTTACGTTTTTCACGTAATTTACAATTCAAATTAAAAAAAATTACGTTGATTTAGTGACGATAATTGCTGCAATCACTTCTCCAAATTTTAAAAAAAATGATTTTTGAGAAAAATTTGATATGTGTATATTTTTCGATTCGCATTTTTTTATCAAGAAATATTGCATATAATATATATTAAATTAGCCTATAAAAAATTGGTACCTTTTTAATTTAATATGTAATAACTGATATTTGATAGTATTTTTTATATTTAAGTATTATTTACTTGCTTATTTTGTATACATTTTTCTTCTTACCTAATTTTAGGCAGCATATTTTATACTAATTAATTAGATAAAATTAAAATTCACAGTTTTTTGGTTGTTTATTTCAAATTATCTTTTTTTAGAAAGACAAAATCGTTAATTGAGAAAGCTAAAATCCGGAAATGTTTGATGATTGGATACTTGTAAAAAGTTATAGAATCTTTATAAATCTTTTTTTAGTTAGCGTATAAAGCACACAAGTTTTTATACAAATTGAGCTATTTATTAGTTAATTGATAGTAGAATGACCTTCAATTTTATAATTTAGATGTGATGACCTTAATTATTTAATAACTAATTTCTATCACTTGATATTATTTAAACTATATTTACTATCTACTGTCATTGATCCAATGTAATTTTTTCTAAAGATTAATTTGCACTGTTCTGTAAATTTAACTTTTTTCTCAAGCAAGTTGATAATTTAAAAAAATTTAGCCACCCGCCAAAGCAGAAGATGATGATCCATGGGATAACGATAAAAGTGATCGAAAAGACTTATCAGTACTAACTATTGAAGATGATTATCAAATGGAACTTTCTGATAATCCATTGGCATCATTCCCTGCTCATTTATATCAGTCAGCTAATAGTTATCAATCCCACTTCAAAAATGTAAAGTTTTTTTCCAGTGTTATGCTATTAATCTTAAGAGTAGTAGTGACAAATATAATATTCAAAATTTTATATCATCTTCTGAAGATTATCCATATCATTGATCAGTGGAAAGTGTAATCATTTTATCACATCAGCTGTTAACTCCTTTAGACTACTTTTAAATTTAACTTTGTTTTCTTCAGTATTTGAAATTACTTCGTTCAATTTCTTTCTTGATATTGAAAACTACAAACTAAGAGCATTTTTATGTTGAATAAAAATTCTGTAAATAATTATTCTGTAAGCTGAACTAATTTTCTGTTGTATTTTCTCAAACCTTAAGCATAATTACTCTTAAGCGTTAAGATAACTGAAAAATTTATTTAATATTTTTATGCATATTTATATTATGTAAATTTTTAGCTTTTAAGTAATTGAAATAAAAAAGATAAGGAGAAAATTAATAAAAAATTGGTATTGTGTATAATATATGAAAGTTTAATTAAAGATATCGTGTGAAATCACTTTATTAAAGATAATGATACTGATTTTTTCATTGTTGATAATATCAGCTCTTAATCAGTATGATCAATAAATGATCAGTATTTACAGAAAAATCATGGAACGATGCGTGAGCGAACACTTCGACCGATGGCTGCAGTAACAGGGCATTGCTTGTCCACTAAAACCGCGGTATATCTTTAAAATTGATTATTCATAGTAAATAATTGCTTTCGCAGATGTTATATGTTTTCTTATTAATTTACGGGAGTTATTATGGAGAATAATCTGTGCAAATTGGTCATTAGTATTTCATACGAGTGACCGGTTGCTAAGGTAATAAATGCGATTCAACAAAGTAAGTAGTCAGCAAGGAAAGTAATGGAATATTTACAGCTTATCCTTCTGCACTATTTTAATTCTATATTATTTAAGTAATTAAATTCTTATTATTTCTTATTTGCTGATTTTTATTTTTCTATTTTTGCTCTGTCTACTTATATTTTTGCACATTTTTAAATTAGTAAAAATTAAAATTAATGAGTTCTTTTTTTTTGTGGGACATATTAAAAGTTAATTACAACTTTATGTAAGTATTTTTTGAATTTCATTAATTGCTTTTATGAATAAATTAAAGTACGAAATATTTGTATAAAATTTTTAATTGATAACTTATATCAAAAATCACTTATGTACTCAAAAAGTAATAATTTATAATTATTTACAATTTTAATCTTGGCTAAATTTACAGGGCAAAAAAGGAAGTAGTGCGTGGAAATGTGGAAAAGTTACTGATAAAAAACCTATCACTTCATTACCATTATCCTCATCATCATTATTATTGTTATCATCACCGTCATCATCATTATCGTCATCTAAAACGTTAAATGCATCATTTATTCGACATTTTTCTGATTCTGACTTAAATTACGTAACTAGAATAACGTCTGAAAGTAGCAAAAATATTGAAAAGAAACAAAGTACTTCACATTTTACTACTCAATCAGTGCCATTATCATTGAATTTGTCTGATTATCATCATCATTATCAACAACAACAACAACAGTTATCATCACCATTACCAACAATTTTATCAAAAATTGAAAAATTTGCATCTTCTTTAAAATTAATTCAACGTGACGATAGTGGTTGTGGTTGTTCGCTATCGACTATTTCATCGATCAGATCGTTAGACGATGTCGTTAGTACTCTCAAAATATTCACTGTAATTTTTTGCATTTTGTGTAATTTACAGATTCTAAAAATTGGTGAAAATTTGCTGCTTAATATAATTTTGATTGTTATTATTTGCATTATTTAAGTTACTGTTATTATTAGCAATATTATTATCATTATTAATATTATCATCATTAATCGTTAGTATTGAAAATATCAATATTATTAATATTATTATCATTAATTGTTAGTAATTAAAATAACAACGATGAAACAATTTTTATTAATTAAGTTTGGTAATAAAATCTTAATACAAGTGAAGATGATTTTTTTTTTCATCATTATAATTATAAGCGTAATTCTGGGAAAGGTTTATAAACAAAAAAAGATGAGTTAATCTTTTTTTGTTTATTTGTAATCCTTTTCAAAACTTTTTGTTCTAATATAAAATTATTAATTTATATATTTTTTAGAGAGATATTCTATTAATTTGTGAGTTAATGTTATGAAGAATATTTATTAAGTAAATTAAATAAAATTATTAAACAAAATAAATTAAACTAAGTTATTAAAAAAAATAAAATTATTAAATTAAATAACTAATAGTTCGAATTTAGCTTTAAATTAATTGTACTATGAGTTTATTGAATGAATTGTGTTGTTTTATTTTTAACAAATTAGTATTATTTGTAAAAATTTTTTTTTTTGTAGTAGCAAAATTATACATATGGGATAATAAGTTTTGTAGGATATTCATGAACGATTACTGGAAGAACAAGAAGAATTGCATAGTTTGTTGAGTTCAGATTCATTCTCAGGAGACTTCTCAGAATTACTGAAGGAATTTGAACCATTGTGTAAAGGATATCAGGAAGCTGTAGATCGTGTAGAACAGTTAATGGCACAAATTGAAACAATTCGAGAAAAATGGAATGATTGGGCAGAAACACAACAGATTATGCAAACAATGATGCGAACAATCGAGAATGACTTATCAGAACTTCGGAAGGGAGCTGATAACTCTCAGGTGACTGTTTAAGTTTCTAGCTAGTTCTCGGATTGTTAGCTTTAGCACACAAAGATTGATTGATTGAATAAAAATAAATTTAAAAAAAAGTTTTGTAAAAAATATGAATTATTATTACAATATTTAGTCATTGTTACACTTTATAATTAAGCTTCATTTTTTTGTAGAAACACAACTGTTTTCAGCAGATATCATCAGAATTGCAATTATGTCAAGAACGAATGAATCGTTTGGAGACAACTTGTAATTATCTGAGCTGTAGCTTAGCTTCACTTCATCGCCGACCCTCGCAATCGTCGCCTATTGACTTCACTTCAGAATTAGCTTTGTATTCTAATGCATTCATACAGTTGAAAACAAGGTTAGTTTAATTTATATTAGCAATCATTATATTAGTTGATAATTGTAGTCGTCATAATGATAATCAGCTGAAGTTGTAGAAATATAATAGTTGTCATGATTACTTGATGGATTTATCGCAAGTAAATCAGGTTATCATAGTGATTTTGATGATTATAATAGCAGAATTCTTGTATTACTTAATTGATAGGAATGAAGTAACTGGTAGCAGTAGAGTGATTACTAGTACTGATAAAGTGTTGATTTTTGCTGCAATTTTCTTAGTTTTCAAAAAGTTAGCTATTTTTTTATTACAGTATTTGTTATTGATTTTTTCGGTAATTATTTTTGTAATTTTTATAGATTTGAGAAAGAAATAGGACGTGTGAAAGGTTCTGATAAAGCAACATTGGTACGAAGCAGAAAAAGATTACGTATAAAAGATGATGAAAAACAAATGCTATCAAAGCATAACACGTACGTGAATACTGTTACTACAGTTATTAACCGTACACACTGCTCTTTGAAGATATTTTTTATTATTTCAATAATAGCGGCGTTCACAGCGTTGTTTGCTACGTCAACTTACGTACCGTGGCGGACAACAATTGGGCCACATTTAGATTACGTTAACGGCCCACCACCTTTATGAATAGTTCTAGCAGTGTTAAAAAGTAATTAACTTTATGGTGTGATTGACTTATAATTTAGTTGTAACATTACAACTTTTTATTAAAATGAAGGGGAATCAGTATCAAAAAATTTTCATGTTACCAAGGAGCAAAAAAAAGATCGAGTTGTAAGTAACCAGTTTACTCTCTTTCGAATTTAAAGTAAGGAAACTCAATTTCTTCTCTACTCTGTTGTTTTACAAGCCGTTAATACATGTAATAAATTACTGCCTGTTTAACCTTTAACCTGATACCTTTCATAAAATTATGCAAAAATTTTATATAAGTTTACTGTTACTGAAATGTAATGCCTTAATAGTATTCATATTTTCAATTTTTGTAAATATTAATAATATATATTTTTTTAAATAATATCATTTTATGAACACTAGCAATGATGATCGCTAAATTAGATTTATATCATTTTTAAATTATATTTCAAAATGAGACCTTCTTATATACTTGATCCTTTTTAAGTAAATTATTTAAAATGATGATATTCTAAGCGACCCCCTAGTGTTCATTCCATTATCCGTATTTTTAACTGCCTAGTTTTTGTCATATTTATTTGAATATAAAATTTTTAATAGGCTTATTTCTTTTCAATATGCAATTTTTGTAGATTAAAGTCTACAAAATTATTTGAAGTAAGTCTATTTAAAAAACAATTTTTGTGGACGAAATTTTTTAAATAGCGCTGAAATACGACTACTTGGTTGTTATTAACTTTTTCTGCGGACAAATTTAACCGCCATGCCTTTATTCTAATTTTTAATTAAGTTTTTTGATTTTAATTAAGTCATTAAAAAGTATCTGCTGAAATTCTCTATTTTTCGCTATGGACATTGAAGGATTTGCTTTAGATCAACTTTGATCTGCAAAAGCTTATGGGGCACAAATATTATTATTCATTATTGCAATTTTCAAGTTTTTTAATAACTTTAATTGTATTAATTAATATTTTAAATTGTCTCATTTTTGCTTATGGTAATGCGTTGAAGTAATAAACTTTTTATGAAAATGTGCAGTGATCACATAAATTTTAGTATTTAATTCAAGGTGGAGCAAAAATTAAGTTATACATGATTTTTATTTTTATTTGTTTACTTTCATTAAAGAAACTTAGACCTGCTGTCTGATGTAATAGAATTTGATTCAAATAACTCAAAACTAGATCATCACGAATTTATAATTATTGGTGAAGTGTATGCTGGAAGTGTATGTACTGTATTTAGCGGATTATAACATGAGGATATCGGGATACTTTTACAATAACATATAATCGGATCTGCGCGAGTAGAGTTTTTGGAATTATAACGGCTTGCAGTTATTGTGTTATTGAATTCCTCCGTGAAAATTTGCTTTTTGTTACCAAGTAAGGATTATCGGGTAGATATCCAGCGCAATAAACCTTAGAGTGATTTTTAGATTTACTAAATAATTTGTTTATATTTTAAATAAATGCACAACAGAACTCTAAAAGTTATCTGTAAACAGTAATTTTGTTACAAGTCATAATTTTTAGATAGTAAAATTATGAAAGTTATCATTGTAAAACAGAAAAATAATTTATTAAAACAGTAAAATTATCGGAAGTTAACATTTGTAAACATTGAAATTATTGAACCATTAATCCCAAGAGCTTCAGTACGAGACAAATTATTCACGTAAGCTACGTAAGCTACTTAAAAGCACTGATAATTCGAGATGAACATTAAAATTCATGTTGGGAATGAAAATCCATAAGAAATAAGCCGTTGGTACTTAAATCTCTCGTGCTTCTATTCAAGCAACGATAATTATATAAGTTAGAAGCTAACTCTCTAAATTTATGAACATTACTACTTAAGGTCAAACTAGATTTTGCTGAGAAATTTGATCGAGAACAATTCAATTGTATTTTTAACAAGAACATATCGTTTTACATTTTCACTATCATACAAATAACAATAGTAATAATAAATAACAATAAGTAACTATGAATTTCTAATAAGTAACTATTTTTTGGAAAAGAAGAATAACTACAAAGAAATTTGAATATGCGCAATAATTAGTCGATGATAACTCTTGCAAGATATATAAGAAGCACACAACACGTTGAGATTCCATACGTAAGTACGAATATTCTTTTTTTGCATTCTGATGTCATACTTTACCGTTCAAGACAGTATTTAACAAACAAGTAATGCCGGAAAGTGACTCATTAGTGAATACGTTTCAATATCAAGAATTTTAGGCTATAAATGCGAAATTTGTGATAAAAAGTTGTGCATAAAGTTGTTACATTGTATTCGACAAGATGCGAGAGATGTAGTACGGTAAGATGCGCGAGAAATTATCAGTTGTGAGAGCAGAGGAAATATGGTCTATTTTTGGTTTTATGGTAATATATTTTGCTTTCTTATTCATTACAAAAAATTTGGATTGAACAGAAATAAGACGAGAAGAAGATAGAATTTTGTTTTCAGAGAGAAGGTAGTTGTCAGGGACAGGAAGATTGATTACGTTGAAGATTACGTCTTCACGTAATTAATCTTCTTGTCTCTGATAACTTCTTTCCCTGACTTACGTCAAAGCAAATCTCAAGCAAAATACACATCAAACATCTTATGGCATATAATTTTGTAAAAATTTCCGCGTTTGATTAATGCTTCTTGTATACTACGTAATGAAGAATTATTATGAAAAGTAAATTTTATTTTTTTCTTAGATTAATATCAAGAATCTATTTATGAAGCAGTAAGTACCTTATTGCTTCGAAAAACTGACTCTATCCGAAAAGCTAGAATACTGAATTTTCAGTATTTCGATAAAAGGTACTTAAATATTCATTTAATTTTTGTCTCAAATTTAAATTACAGAAATTACGTCATTTACAATAATTGCTTGACACATAAGAAAAACACTGGAAGTAATTTTTTTAAGTATATTTTCATGAAATTTATATTAAAAGCATTCATATTTTCATTTGCATACACTTAATAATAAAATAGCAATACTTATTATTTTATTAAATATCCAAGTTTTAGCATATTTTTTTAAGTAAAGATTTTTAAGCATTTAAAAAAATCAAAAAATTGATGTTTTGTAGGCGCCTTTTCAAAATTTTTAGAAAAGCTAAAAAAAGTTTGGAAAAGTTCTTTTGAAATTAGTGAAAAGTAATAAAGTAAGTGTAGTCAACGGAATACAAGAAAATCATAAATTCAAAATTGTAGTCCATTTTCATTACAGTAAGAGCACGAAATGAATAACTGCTTGCGGTATTGGAATTATTAATCGTTTACTACATTTTAATATATTAAATTTATTTACATAATACATGACAATATGTAAGCAAAAAAAAAGAAAATCGAGTATACATCAATTAGTAAATAAAGTAGTATTGTAATACAAAAATTGATATCAAATGATTTTCTTTGTATTAAATAAGTGTGAATGATAAAAATTGTATTGAGCAGTGTTGCGAATATATAAATAAGTCTTTAAGTACAAATATAATTACAATAATAATGCTTACCAGTATTGCTGAATACTTAAAGAAAATGAAAATTGCCATCAAAGTTAGTTTGATACTTCTTGAAATCAAAACATCCCCTAATGCAAAGTAATCTAAGATTTAAGCAAGTTTTTTAAATTAATTGATAGTCGCAACTGCTTTTACTTAAAATAAGTATTGAAATACTTAAAATACCTTGAAAAAAGTACTTAAAAATTAAAACAAATTACAATATTTCTCTGAATTCTATATTCATTTCTTTTTATGTGAGCCAACAACTGGTATGTCATAAATACATCAAGTATACAAGTATTTCGACAATGTGTAAAATTATGCAAATTTTTTTTCTGCTTTATGCAAATTATCAAAACAAAGATCTATTTATACACCTTTAACATTCTTAACTTTATCGTTAATAATTATTTTTGTGGAATAAATTACCAATCATCGTAATATTTAACACTATAAATAAGCAAATTTATAATATTAATTACTTTTTTATTACATACTTGATTTGCTATATTTAGAATTTTAAATAAGTCGCGATTTTTGCAAATAATTAATAACTGCAGAATAAACAAAACGGTATTGTTCGACAGTTTTAACCAAGCACATGCGTTGTTGTCGTAGCAGTGCTAAAGTTTTACCAATATCAATACTCTGAAATCATTAATTATGCAGTAATTATTTCATAGATATATAATCTTATAAATATATACTTATAGATATAATCAAATAAATTCTAATATATCGGAAAATGATTCAAAAAACAACTGTAATTATCAGTAATCAAAGACAATAATATCCATGATTACAGTACTCAATTCATTATTTAAATAATCATTATTTTTCATGTTATATTAACGATAGGCTAGTCGTAAGTGATTTCTTTCTATTGCATATTACTTAGAAATTTTTACTAATAATAATTTATTAATAGCAATAGTTGTAATTATTTTAATTCGATCGTAATAAAAGCAAATACACATACCATATTATGCTCAATGCAATGTATAAGTAGTTCTATCAAAAGATAAACACCAGATTCATGTGAACCTGTTAAGCAGTGTATTACTGTTGCTGGCATTTCTGAACCTATGAATCCACTACTCTCGGCTGATGAACATTCATTTGAAACAGTACTGCAGATAGATTACAGTTTATCACTTACTGAATATCAATATCATTATCAATTGATACCATTTATAGCATAAAATAATAGTTACGTGAGGCAAAAGTCATGCAAAAAAGTTAACTCTTAAAAGTTAGTAATATTTTTTAACCTTTATTAGACAATTTTCTTTACTTTTCAATAAAGAAAGTGTTGCATTTTAACAAAATAGTCTTTTATTGAACATTTTTTGTTTAATTAATATAAATTAAAGTAATTTGTTTTAATGTAATATTATTTAGTACTTAATTTAATAACAGTTCCAAAGCAGTACTTGGAAGGCGAATAATGTAGTGCATTATTGACCATATGTAATCCTTTTTTACACCAGTTATAGTAGCCAAAATCATTATTTGTGTTTGTTCTGTTATTGCGATTTGTTAGATCCGTTAAATTTAACTGCAAGACTAAATTTTGTTCACAAATTCTAGCTCATTCCGATTTATGCATTATTTTTTAATTCATATTTTAGTATAAAAAATTAATTCTCAATTTTTTAAATATTTTAGTATAAAAAATTAATTCTCATTTTTTAAAACCATTTTTAAACTCATTTTAATGGTATAACCTGACTGTTATTACGAGTTTTTTTTGAAAAATTAACGTTTCCATAATTAGTTTCATTCAGTAATTCATTTTCTAAATGTCGTCGAACACTATTAACAGCATCCATAAAACCTGTAAAAATACTGAGAGTTTTTATTTTATCAATTAAAGTATTTTATTACAACTAATCACTTTACAAAATTCCCGCCATTATTATATAAATTAATTTAAAAAAATTAAGTGATAAGATAAAAACTTTAGTGATTATTGCATTTTACTTGAGATAATTTGAAGTGACACATAAGTGGTAAGTAATTTATTGGTTGAACTTGGTATTATTATTAATAATATGTGATATGTAATTTTTGAGGTAATTATTAATAATTTAAGTGGTATGTAACAAAATTTCATCGTTTTTAGAATATATTTTATTATAAAAATTTGATCAACTTTTAAAAATGGAATAAAATATAATTTAACTTTAAAAAATAATAATATCTCAATGAAATAAATTGTAATTTATACTTAATGAACACAACAAACTGCAAGATATGCTCATATTTGGAATATTTCTATTGTAAAGAGTACGGTTTTCCATATTTGTACAATCAAATTCCTAGCGACAAGAAGGATTACGCAAATTTAAGCAATACAACAACAAAAAATTGTTGTTGTTCGTTTCAATAACGCACGAAATAAACAAAATTATATTCAAATTTAAATAAATATAACCTAAAAATGAATTCACGTCTGCTGGTATTCCACCAGTAATCCAGCCCATCAATCGAAGATGATAAATTGTACGTCGTTCACCGCTAATATTATTACTCAGTTGAAATATCATTGTAATCTGATGCTTACTTATTGTATTCGAAAGTAACATAACTGAATGATCCGATAACTGTAATTTGGCCATTAACTTTTGAGGCCAGTAAATTGGTATTGCTGTATTTTTGAAGTCCTAAAAATATGATAAAATAAGATTGCCATCAAAATATTTCCATTTTATACTTTTTTTCTAAAAATACAATATTATTAATTATATTGGAAATCATTTAATTGAAAAATCATCAATTTATCATTCTTTCAATTTTCATTTTTTTTCCGCTTGACTGAATAATGTTTTATAATGATGCTAATTTTTTAAGAATTTATTTTGCAATTTTTATTATGCAAAATTTTTTACATATTAATTTTATATATTAAATTTATTATGCATTAATTAATTTTTTATAAATTAATTTGTTTTAATAATAAATGAAATCAGCTGCAAATAAATTGCTAATTCTAACTATCAGTAATGGAAAAACTTAACACTAAATGATGCCGTTTTAAATTTGAAATCTTTTTTATGCTTTTAAAACGTAAAAAGTTTAAATTCTGTTACTCGTACTTGCGCATCACAGAGCATCACGATGAGTTGTGTGCCAGATTCCCAAATCATCTGCCAGAAGTCTTCAATTGTATCTGGAAGTGGTGCTTGTGCCAAAATATACCGTAATAATCGATTACCAATTGGTATCTGTTAAATAAATTCAAAAATTTTCATATCATCATAACAAGATAAGACTTTTTTCAGTAAATAAATATATAAACTAATTAATCTATTTATTAAGTTCCACCTGAATATTAGAAGCATTTATATAACCAGTTGGATTGGATTGTTTTGAATGAAGCATAATTCGTGTGTCTTCATATGGTACTATTGATCTTGAACGATTACGCTTCTGAAATATTAGATAACTTGCAAAAATTTGTTTTCAATATAATAATTGTAATAATATTAAAAATGAATTAATATTAAAATAATAATAATATTATCTTATTGTATTTGTATAAATAAATTAACAAATTATCACTATTATTTCTGTTTCCACTGTAGCAATTTTACTTACATTGCTACCAATGTCAAAAATACTTGCATAAATCAGATTATAATTTTTCAGATTAATCTTTTTCATTATAATTACGAATCGTATATATAATAATGATAATAAACGCAAGTATAATAAGCGTAAAAATGCTAAATATAATTTGCAAACGAAAAGCTTAAAAGTAAATAACCAAATTTTCTGGTTTCTGACTAGTCGAAACGCCAGCAGACATTCGTCGATTTGGAATAAGCGCAAATTCTTCATCCAATACATCGTCAGTAGTTAATTTTTTCAATAATTTTCTAAGCTAAAAAATGCGATAATTTTATAATTAAATATTAAAAAACATTTTAATGGCTACTAAAAAATAAAAAATCCAATAATAATTAATAAAATTAATAAATATAAAATATATATATCATTCAATTACATAAAGTTTTAAAAGTACTATCTATATAAAATATATATCATTCAATTACATGAATTTTTAAAAATATTATCTATACTAATTTTATTCATTAAAAATGTAGTAAAATAAATATTATGAAGCAGTAATAAAGTTTCAATGTGGTAGTAAGAAATAATAATAAATTATTTGTTACTATTTAAATTTAAAAAGTATACGAATAACTAATGAATTACTCAAAACTGTTAAGTAATTAAAAATATTATTAAAAGTATTAGAACAATAATATTATCATTTTTTTTTCGTCTTTATTATTGATGTTTAAAGATAGCTTTAAATGATTTTTGCATATCAATTGAAAGATTAATAATTCACAAAAGTAGAAAATTCTTGCAAAAGAACTTTGAATAGCAGAAAAATTCACAATTTTTGACAAAATTTTTTTAAAAAAATAATTTATACCAGCAAATTTAAACTTATTTGAACTGTTTAAAATAAAACAAGATATTAACAGTTTGATCGTTGCTTGGAATTGACATTGGATCAGCAATTGGTACTGCACCAAGCAGATCTGCATATTTTCCGTTTGAGCTAACAGCATGCTGTTGTAGTACGCCATTTAACATTACGTGACGTAAAGGTGACGTAGGAGACATTTTGTTAAACGATTCAGTAAATTCTTGAGAATTTATCGTTTCCTCTTTTGAGATGAAATCCTTAACAAATAAACAATAAAGTAAATATAAACAGTAATATAAATAGATAATTATCAACTTGAAATTTTTACAATCAAATATGAATCATAGAAAGTAACAAAAGGATAAATATGACTCATAAATAAAACTTTATTATAATTTATAAGTTACTGAAACGAGAAATTAAATATTAATTATAAAATAAGTCAAAAATTTAATTTAATATTTTATTATTTGAAGACATTTCACAAAAGATAGTATTAAAATTTACTTATTTTATAAGTAAATTTTAATACTATCTTTTGTGAAAGCTCACTTTCAATACAACAAATACTAAAGTGTTTGTAACTGATGAAAAAGCAAATTGTTCACTTCACGGAAATAATATTATCAAAAAGTTAATCGAATTTTAAATGCATTAAATTTTATTCGATATGAATACTAAATCGAAATTCGCATGAATAAATTATAAAATATTTAAGTACTCGAATACAAATATCAATGTTTTCAGTTTGGATATAAAAATATACACATCATTTTTTAATAGATTATAAAAGTATTTGTCATTATTAGAATATTATTAACATCAGTAATACAAATTCCAAGTGTTACATATTCAAACAATCATAAAATATTTGCATTAAAATAAAAAAGTATTAATTAACGCTATATATTATTACAAATTCGATATTGTTTTATAATATGGATACTTAAAATATAAGAAATAATTGTTCAAAATTTATAATTATTTTTAGATATCAAATATTTATTTTTGTGCAAAAATTGGTCAAGAATTAATAATTTATATTAAGAAAAGTGCTAAATAGATATTCGAAAGTATTAATTCTATATCAAAAATGTTTGATAGCTCATGAAAATCTTAATAAGAAACGCATATATAGTTAGGATGATGATCTGAAATATTGAAATATCTGATGTCAGTAAACTGATAATCAAAGACTTAATTTTAATTGCTAATATTATAATTAAATAACTTGACCTGCTAATAAAATCATAATACTCATAAAGATTAATAAACTTTCAATTTAATTAAAGAATGATCTGGAATATTTTTTAGGGTTTGAATTTCAGGTTAGTATCTTAACAGCAAAAATTTTTGAACTAGCTAAAAAATAAATTCTATACTATTAGTTCCAATTAAAAATTACTTCAAAGGCAATATTTTTTATTTGAGTTTTTCTACGCGTTAAGCACTGAATCTTGAACACATTTCAATTTTAAACTTTAATATAGAAGCTAATTAAAGCAATTAAAATGAATAATTAATCTGAAGTAATCATCACAAGATATCCCTTTCAATACAAATTTTAATTGCATTTTTTAAATATTAAATTAATGAAAAAAGCATAATTTAGAGAGTAGAATCAGAGGTAAAAATTGCAGAAAAATGAAAGAATCTTTCAAAAAGCAATATTTTGCAGAAATAAGCCATTTAAATTAATATTACAAGCTATAATAATGAAGTAAATAAAGTTATTATCACTAAAACTTATGATTGCATCGAAAATTCGAATCAAACAAACAAGTATTTAGCAATCGACAAATAATAAAATAAATTTCCTGTTATAACCAAATAATTATCGTATTAAATTCACGTAAAAAATATGAAATGATCACGTAAAAAATATGAAATAATCACGTAAAAAATATGAAATGAAGTGAAAAATACTGGAAAAATGACTGCAATACCATGCAATATTACTATTAATACCAATTTTCATATAAAATAACTATCACATGTTCTGAACAGCAATAAAAAAACTTGAAATTAATATATAATAAATTAAAAACAAACTTTAAATTAATTATAACAAAATTGATATTTTCAGTTTATGTGCAAAAATATTTGTAAAAAACCTTTTCTTTGTAAAATATACAAAATAAGTAGACGTAAAAATTGAATTACTTTTGAAAAATATGCGCTATCTTTTCACGCAATTTGAAATTATTATTTTTTTATGAAAATTTAAAAGATACTTACTGACAATTACAATGCTTAAATATTTAATCAAAATTTACGAGAAGAAAGCTTATTTTTGCTGATAGATAATTTTTTCCTCTACAAATACTTTTTTTTAAAGCCAAAAAATATCTTTGAAATTTTACTTTAATTCATTTTAATTTATCAATTCAAAAATTATGCAGCAAGTTTAAGCGTAAGCGTAAACGATTATTAAAGTTAAAATACCACAAAATGTCAGCTGAAACATTTTTAAAACAATTATTGAATTTTCGATGATAAAATTGATGATAAGAATTGAAAGGGTTAAAAGGGTAAAAGAGCAAATAAATATAAACATAAATAATAAAGTTTCTACATTTTTGAAAGTAAAAAAAAAGGATTATACAAAAATTGTAAAAAAGTCTAAACTTAATAAATATCTGCGAATTATAAAACCATGATAATTAATAGTAATAATTAATAAATAATAATTAATAATAAATGATGATAATGATTGATAGCAATTTTAACCCTAAAAAATAAAATAAAAAAATGTAATAATTTTTGATTCCAAAGATGGGCAAACATTAAAAGGTTATTAATATGAATAATATTTTTTACGGCCATTTAGAATGAAAATAATTTGTTAACAAAATTTCTTCACATTTTATTATTATATAACATAAAAAACAAGCAAAACAGTGGAACGGAAATTTATTTGAGCGATTACTGTTATTGCTATCAATCATTATCATCATTTATTATTATTCATTAGTATTAATTATTATTTATTATTATTAATTTGTTATTATTATTATTATTAATTATTACGAATGATAGTAATTAATTCCGTGCTGAAGATAATACCCGCAAAATCATAATAATAATTTATTATTAATATTAATATTAATAATGAAAAGTCAAATCAGTGAAGGGTATTGTGTGAAAATATATGAAAACGAGACTCAAATTTATTCTAATAACAACGATAATAAGCTCACACAACAAAAGCATATCAGAATTCATAATTTTACGATTAATTCGATAATAATACAAAATTTGAGCTAAAAATATAATTGTATGCCAAAAAGACAAATTGATACAATAGCTGTAATAATAAAATTTGTCTGTGAAAGTTTGAATGAAAGTTTTTGCTCCAAACAATTTTGCAAATGTTTACAAATTCATATACAAAAATGTATGCAAAAAGAAAAAAATTTGACTTTGCTATTTATATTTTAAAATGATTTTTCGTTTTTACAATATTTCAATTTTGATAAAAGTAGCAAAAAATAAAAAATCTTTTTTAATGTTTTATAATATTTGTTTTATGGATTATTAAGCTATGAATTATTAAATTCTAAATAAAGTAATTTAAATATAGTTGAGATGAAAGTTATTGATGGCTAACAATTAATCCTTTTTTAATCTAAACTCAAAAGTAATCATAAATATTAGCAAAAACGTTTCTAACAAATTTGTTCTGATCACTAATAACTAATTAAGCAAATTGCTGTCCTTAAATTTGCAAATATTATATTTATTGCAATTTCAAAAATTACTAATCTGACGATTATATATAATAATGAAGTGCCAATTTTTCAATTTACCTTAAAACAAGTTTTGAATAACAAATATGGAATACTTCAAAATTTGTTCAAATAATTTTGAGAAATAGTATTACATGTTTTACTTTGAAGTATAATCCCAATATTTTACTCAGTTACTAAAATAATTTTAAAAGTAACTTTATATTGGAAATTGATAACTGAATAAAATTAACTACGTTCATTAAGCTATCAGAATTTAATCATTTACCTGTCAATTTATCAATTCAACTTTTTCAAAAATTTTCATCTTTTTTAAAGTTACTTGCATTCACAATTGTTTAATCAATTTAATACTTTAATCATTGACTTATTTACTGAAAAACTATATGATAATTTTAAATAGAAATGATTATTAATAATTTAAAATATTTGATCAAGCATTATCATTAAAAATTATAATTTTTTTAATATTATTATTGGTCCAAATATCATTATTTTGATTTGTAGCGAAAAAAAATGATATTAATAGTATTCAAAAAATTATTTGAGATTAATTTTATTACAAATGGACCATATTTGTTAAACATTAATTTTATTCAGTTTTTTTTTACAAATACAGACAGTTCTTATTTGAGATATATAAATCTAATAGGATTAACTAACTGTATAGATTTATATAAGTTCTACACGATTAATAGTAACTTATTTTTAGAATGAAAAAAATGACAGGATTTTGGGGTTTGAGAGTATTTCAGTAGTAATTATAAGTTAAGAAGTAGTCATTCTACGAAAAATAATAGTTTAAAGCTATCAATTTTTCCAATTTTCAAAAATACTCTTTAAAAATTAGCTTACTGCTTCACAAGTATTCGTTGCTTTATTACAGACGTTCCTTCCCCGAGGTGATTCAGATTCATTGCTATTAATCATGAATGAGGTTGAGTAATCATTATCGTGAGAAAATTTCTCGAGAATGGGGATTGATCGTAGTACTGATAAAGATTGCTTTGAATCACAATCACCGTTTGATGATGCGCTCGACTGCTTCGAGACTACATTTTTGGTATGTGTAGAAAAAACATCAGGGGAAGAAATACTTCTTGATGTCGTTACAGTCAAATGAGGATTCATAACTGCATATGATTGTGTTGTACTTGAAGAAGGAGGATAGAGGTCATGAACTCTTTTTGTAAAGGTTTCAGGAGTTCGATCTTCTTCAATTACTTCATAACGTTGCTGTGCGGTTGAATGAAGAAGGGGTAATTTTGGATTATTAGAAGAAAACATTGTATTAGATTCATTTGAATTACCAAAAGTATTTCCTCGTTCATTTGATTCCTTTCGATATGTTTCATAATTTTGGGTTAAAGGTGATGATGGTGGATAGTAAATGTGCCCTGCTTGAGCTAAATATGAAACATGATGAGCTTGACTTTGATGATGACCTTTAACTTTTGACATCACTGGTTGATGACATAAGAATGGTTGTTGCAGTGAAGCAAGAAATGGTACTGATTTCATATATGCTTTTGATGATGATCCACATTCTTTTGTTACTGATGATAATAATGCACCATCTGATTTTCCTTCTGTTAATCCCATCATCAAAAATCTTTGTATTGCTGGTTTTGATTTAGTATCATCTATTTGAAGAGAATTATCATTTAAATTAGCCTAAAATTCATCAACTTTAATAATATTAATAATATTCGTTATTAAAAACATTTTTTGCTAAAAATATAAAGAAAAAATTCGGTAGAAGATTTGATAATATTTTTGAAAATTTTTTTCATTCATCTTGAAAAAACTAACGACTGAAGTAAAATTTTTTAGAAGCATGGATTAAAGTTATAACTTCTACCTGAGGTACATTAATTCCTGGTGATGATACTGCTGGTACACTGTGATTTGCATCATTGTTTACGGTACGCCAATGGTTAGTAGTCTGAATTGCATTAGTTTGCGATTGTGGATGCGATTTCTGTAACGGAGCTACAGTAGAAGCTGCGCTAGCTCGAAGTTCTGCTTCAGCTACTGCTAATTTGTACCTTTCAAGTACAGAAGTAATAAGGTCAGGCGATGAACGACATGTACTTATCAGATCAGGACTGCTTAGCGCATGAGCAGGAGAAATCTGCAAGCGAAAATTAGTAAAGTAAAATAAGCGATAAGTAAAGTGAAATGATAGAGAGAGTAAGAATGCGTCGAGTGATAAACTTTATTTCAACTTAAAAATGAATGCTATAGATTTGGAATAAAGCTTATAAAAATTAATAATGTGTGATAATCTAATATCACTTAAGTTAGTCATGTTGGATATGATTAAGACCTTTAGCTTCTGATGCTATTAAGCTAGTTTATGAATATGCATTCTCATGTCTTCGTTATTTCCGAAACTTGTTTTTACTTCACTGACGATAAAAAGAGTAAACTGATGTGATGAAGTGATAAGGTATATTTTTTTGCTCAAGTATACCTAAATGAAGTTAGACAACAAAAAGTTTTGTCTAAACTATTTAATTTAAAAGTACCATAACCATTTCTACTAAAATATGAGTTTAAAAAGTAAAGAATTTCAAGATCCAGTGACCAAAAGTAATATTCAAGAAGCTGATAAATGAATGATAAAGTGATTAATTCATAACTGAGTTTGCTAGAAGATAAGTCGATATTTTATTATTTATGATTGTGGTAAATCGTCAAGAATGACCAAAACCGTTTCATAAATCACAAACAATATTAAAAATTATGATATCGATACTTATTTTTGCAAAATAAAATTTTTAATATCAGATAATACTGTTTACTTTTTATCAACAAACTATCTACTCAAATCATGAATAATTACGTTTTAAGGAATCAGTAGAACATAGCTATTTTTCACTACAAATAATTAAGTAAGTATTAAGTAAATTAAGTAAGTAAGTAAATTAGACTAATTTTTCATGAACAAAAAGATAGTAATTCATTTGATTTTTCATATTTTTGACAGCAAAACATGGTAATTTGAATGTTTGATACTTTTTGTGGTCCATCCTCGTTCAAGGAATGTTTATGAACTAAGGCAGCAGCACTTCGATGCATTCCACGACCGATCATACGAATCTCAGGTGACGAACCAGTCATCTGAAACAGAAAGTTTCAAGAAATAAACACAATTTTTAAAATACCACTTTCATGCATAATTTATTCTGTAAATCAGTAATAAATAGTTATTTATATTTTTCAGATGTAAATTAATAATAGAAAGATTTATGAAAATTTTGATAATCGCACAGATTGAGCCAAATGACGTTTGCGCAGAAAAGCAAAACTTCGGAATTCGAATTTGCATTCGGGATTAGCATATTTTTGAACTTCAGCAACTTCATCTTCTTCTACTTCTGGACTAGATGCAGTATTCTGTAAATAATATTCTTTACTTGAAAACTTAAGTAATTTATCAAATTTTTTTACACTTATGCTTTTGTAAGATTTCTGAAAATTTTTTTCTGAACTTTTCTAGTGAAGTCCTTTATATACAACACAATGACAGTACTCTAAAGTATTGCGATATATTGTAATACTATGCATCTGATTCCGATAATAAGAATACTTTATCCCAATAGATTTGAATGATTATTTTGCTTGCTTACTTTCTTGAAAACTGAAAAACGACAATATGTTAGCTTATCTGTCTAAAATAAGATAATAATATAAAATCTTCAATGACTTGTTCATTATTTTGTACTAGGGATGATGTTGAACGGTAAAGAACGCTTGGATGTGAAATATCGTATTCTTCATCATTTGAAAAATTCAGAGCAGCTGCCGATTTTGATAAAGCATTTCGAGATATCATTTCTGATTTTGTATATAACAGTTCTCGTGGTACTGTAGTAGAAGTAACTACAATACTTCATTAATGAAATAAAGTAAAAAAGAAATTTTTAAATAACAATAATTTCTAATTTCAACCTATCAGATGAAAAAATTCTTACATATCGTATTTAATTTTTTTATTTGTACAAAAATGAAACAATTCTAGATATTTAGAAATTTACTGCATCTCATTTTATTATTACATAAGATGCAAAAATATAACATATAACATTTCAAATTTGATATTATGATGTACTACAAAACAATCCAGAAAATTGTAACACAAAAATTACGATATCGTGATCAAATAAAAATACTGTAATCTACTCATGAAGATATACTATAATAATGATGTAAACAGTAAATGTTCAATTGATGTAATACTCTGTATTTTCAGTAAAGGTAAATGATTTGGGAGTTTCACTTTCATTTTTTCAACTAAAATTGGATTTTTTTAATTGCAGAATTAATAGTTTACGTACAAGCTACATAAAAAGATACCATTGTGAGGCTGAGAATATTGCAGCAACGATGTTAACGGTGAGCGTTTTATAAGCTGATTATCACTGGAGTTGTTGTAAGTTGACAAATTACACATTGATGTAGCTTGTAGTAGTGACCTTTGACTTAATGGTTTAGTTGGTGATAAACGTTGTGTAGATGAGCAATAAGTTGGTTCTGGCATCATCATATAAATTAATGATGCGTAATCTGACCCATTTAAACGACTTGAATTGAGCTGAACACTTTGAAAATTAACAAGTACTCATAATATATGCAATTTATTTTCATTGTTTTTGGTGAATTTTTGATAAATATAACAAATCAAAATACTTAGTGACCTTTTATTAATTATTAAAATTTCTTTGAAACACATTTTTAATATTCAGTAATTAAGTATGTAATTTTCATTTCCATCAATTCAATAATATAAAAACGTAATAAAAATAATATGCCAACCTCAGCATTAGATGACCGCATTTGATTGAACGTTCTAATACTCCCTTGCAAATTATTAATACTAAAATAACTTAATTTTCAGTTCCGCACAACTGTTCATATTTTGTTAAAATAATTAATTATGAAAAAGTTGCATATTAATTTTTTGTTTTTCACGTATTAAAGTAATTAATTATGAAAGTTTTACGTATTAAAATTATTATTTAGAGAGTATTTCCATAATTTGAAGTTATATTATTCGAATTTTTTTATGGTCATCAGTGAAAAATAAAACTCTCACTTCATTGGATAATTTTTTTCAACAATTGCTTTATTAGTTGCGTAACGGAATTGCCACGTGATGACCATTGCTACATAGCGTGCCATTTCTATATCTTCCTAATGACAAGATATCATTACATGCAATGACAGTAATGATAACAATACTACTAATAAATATAAAAACATACATACTATTAGCAATATCTTAAAAATTTTTAATAAAAATTGATATATTAATTTTCAAAACTGATTGCAGAAGTTTTATTAATTATAAAATAATTTAAAAAAGGATTCAAAAATTCGAATTATTTAATCAGACATACCATAGTGAATTGGACTAAAGTACCATCATGCAGGCGAATGTTGAGATGGCGCTTCACTGCTTGAATATCCTTAATATCTTCCCATCTAGAATCCCTTTTATTTTTATCATATTTTCAATGTTTACAGCAGAAAAGTTATTTATACATAAAATTTTTAAGAAGATTCTTGAAACTTAATAGAAATTTATTCAAAACAGTCTATTTTTTACGATTATAAAATTATTTTTCCTACAGTTAGATGAAGACGAATTAGGACAATCATAGAAATAACAGTACTAAATGAGACAAAATAAGACTAATAATGATAGTGATAATAACGTTGTTAATAATGATAACAGCAAGATGAATAATAATGATAGCATCAATCATAATAATAATGATAATAATAATAATAATATATAATATATCTGGATATAATTTACATGAATTTACTTGTGTTTTACAGGTGCACCGTAGAATTCTTTGATAATAACACCCTCCTGAGAATAACCGATCTTTACTTCAGTACTGTCTTCATCCTACAAAAGAAATAAAAATTTAAATATCAAATTTGAGCAGAGATCAATAACACTGACTATTTGATGTGTTTCAAAATAAATTTAAATTGATAAATTTTAAAATAAATTCAGTTTCTGAATTGAGAAAATTAATACTAAATATGTAATTTTCATTTTCATACAATTCAAAAGCATAAAAGTCAAAGTATATGGTTGCTTAAGTTTTAAATAAACTAAATATATTTCTGTGCATTAAAAAATTTAAATGTACTTGTTAACTTTAGTAAACTTTAAGTAATCTAAATCCATATAAAATTTTTTAATTTATTAATGATTAAAACATTGCATTCCCATTAATTCGTATCTTTTAAAATTATGTTCCAAATTTTTGGCTCAAATCCATTTGAAAACTTAACTGAAAAATAGAAATTAGAATTTAAATTTAGATATTTTAAAATTTAAATAACAACGATAATAATAGACTTTTTGTTTATGAAAAACAAAGAAGAATAAAAAATTTTTAATCGAAATAATTGAAAATCGGCAATATAATTTTTGCTTTGCTATTTTTTATATGATAATGATGTTACTTGCGATAACAATAATGATAATCATAATTTTACCAATGATTTCAGTAATAATATTGTTGAAAACAATTTTGCAGTTACTCGAGTCTTAACAAACTAATAATCATTCCTACGGTAGAAAATAAACCGAATTCAGTGCTTACTTTGCCAATAAAATATTCTTCTCCGTAACCTTCACACTGTTGTGCATCTACAATATACAGTAATGCAGCATAACTCGGTTGCATACCTTTCAAACGTTCATGAACTGCTGAAACTCTTTTCAGTAAGTCTTCCTGAATTTGAGCGTTTCGACAAATGTGCTGAAATTTAAGTATAATTTGTAAATTATTTATATGCAAATTAAACGATATTATTGTAAGTTAATAAGTTCAATTATTGTTATTAATTGATTGTATGAATTACTGTCGTACCCCTTCAATAACTTGTGATATTTTCAAACAAAAAATAAAAAATGTCTTCAGTTACCAAGCAGCAATACTGTTTTAAAATAGTTGCTTAAAGATTATTCACTGTTGCTAGAAAATTTACAGCAATTACTTGAAGATTATAGCGCAAAAATCTTTCGGTATATTGTAATTGAATTACTGTAATTGATAATCATCGATCAAATTAGATTAAATCCTTGGTAAATAATAGTAGTGAGAGCAATCGTTACTTAAACAAATGTTCATTTAAGATTCTTACAGTAAATGATTAATTACCCAAACAATATATTGCGTTATACTGTAAGCAAAATAAATGACTTTATGACCATATTTTTAACCTTTGGTAAAAGTGGTATAGTTTGCATGAAATCAATTGTATGTATTGTTGGATCGAAATCACCATATTCCACTAAAACTATGACATCAAAGTTTCGTTCAATTATTATTGATTAAGATTACCAATATAAACTATCAAAAGATTATTTTAAAATGCTTTAAAAATATTTTCAAAAATTATTTTCCAAATTTTTGACTTAAATCCATTTGAAACCTTATTTGAAAAGTAAAAACTAGAATTTAAATTTTGACTGATCAAAGAATTAAATTTCAGATTTTAAAATTAATAGAATTAAATTTCCAAATTTAAGTATACATATTAGCTTAAGATGTACGCTTAGATTTGTAAATAATTAGGAAAGCATAAATACCTTGAAGACTGTATGCTGCAAGATTAATATATTTTTCAAGAGCAACGGTCAATTTGCCTTCTACAACGTCTAATTTCATAAGGAAAAAATAATATGATCTGAAATTTTATTACAATCATACTCAGTCCCTAAAATCATATATTTTTATTTTTTAAATTATAGAAGTAATACTTATAACTGGAGCTCATATATCCCGCTTTTTTCTTCATGATGTAAAATTATTACGATCATTGAAATTTGTTAATCATAATTCAATAACAACAAATATTTCAAACACCGTAACCAAACCTAGCCATCTGATCAGTCAGTGTGAATGCATTTGGAGTATGGTAGAGTACTGCTAGTTGAACTTGCCGAGGTTTACAAGCCCATTTTTCCAGTTGTCGTCTAAGAGGTTTATCAAGTTCAACCCATCTCATCATCCGGTGATCTGGATCATTCGTTTTCATCTGATATCGTAAACCAAACATTTCTACCTGAATTACTTTCATAGGTATCCCCGAAAAAACATGTAATTTTTTGCACATTTAAAAATTTCCAAAAGAATTTTAAACACTTCGATAAATAAACTTGTAATAAACTACTGCACTGTGGTAAAAAATAAAACTACCTCAACTTTTAGTAGAAAAAAGCTTGATTCAAAATAAATTTATCTTCACAATTTGGTTCAAAACTTTTTAAACATTCAAATTTGCTTTTAAATTTACGCCTAAAAACTTCCTCGTCTGATCAGTATCGCATTACTTCTAAAATTACACTACATCAATTTTATTTTTGTTACTAATATTTTAATACTAAATTATGTTAACTTTAAATCTAGAATACATTGTAATAAAAAATTCGGTGTTCATGCTTCAGAATTGAGAACAAGCACTTCATTAACAAATTTAAAATATTTCAAATGCAATCAGACATGTGAATTAATTAATTAACTAAAATACATTGTAATATAAAAAGTTCGGTGTTCATGTTTCAGAATTTAAAATGTTCGGTGCTCATATTTCAGAATTTAAAAAGTTCGGCGTTCATGTTTCAGAATTGAAAACAATTATTATTATCATTATTACTACTTATTTTCACCATTGTTATAATAATAATAATAATAATAATAATAATAACTAAATAAATAAATAATAATAGTAAATAATATGCTAACTTGATTGAGATCCACTTTTTGACTAAGATATTCCATGCATTGACTTGCAGTACTCTCAGTAGTTAATGTACACTGAAGTATGGCATAATCACCCAGAAATACGGTCAACACGTAGATATCTTGACTTAAGTCATATCGGCCACTTTTTTTGCCCCACTTTAATTTCAGCGGCATATGCAGCATTTTTGATACAATCATTATATTCAACTGTATTTCTGTAAAAAATGTAATTGACAAAATGATATTATAAATTGCATCATTAAACTATATTCCTACTAATGATATCGACGTGAATCAAAGACGTAATAAAATTGGATCATTCTTCTATAGTTTCCATGATAAACCAATCATAATAACAGCAATATCAAGTATTATTATGATCATTACATCGATCATATTAATATTACCCAAACTGCCAGAACTTGATAGGATATGTATTTATTAGTATTATCACTGCTTATCATTATTATCATTACTTATTATCACCACTACTATTACTATTATTTCATTAGATTATTATTATTAATATTAACATCATTGTTATAAATATTGTTATTATTAAATACTGATTTTCGTAAAAATATTTAACATCAATTCTATTAAAATGAACGGATCATGAATATACTAAACATATATGTTACCATAATTATGATTATATTTTGTATAATTCGTTAAAATTTGTTTATCATTTTGTTACTAACGTTTTTTGCAAAAAAAGAGTAAATTTATCGACATCAAAATAACAGCAATAAATAATAAGTGTAGCACTATTCATTACATCAATTTATGATATAATATAATATAGTGTTTACTATTTTTTCTTGTTACGGAAAATATAAAAGTAATAAAAAAATTTGACCTTTTTATTGAATGAGCTGAACTTATAACACATATTCTTTATTACTTTGACCTTTTCATTATTTTTAATAAGTTTATTTTCCATTTTACTTCAATATTTATAAGATAAACTATGAAAAAAATGCAGTAAAAATGAAGTTAGGCAAATTACATATTTAAATAATAATTACCTGTTTTTGTACAAGCAACAAATTACAATATCAGTACCGCTATTGTATTATCCAAAAGTTGATTTCAAATTGCATAATATCTTCAAATTTTTATTAAATGATTTCAAATTCAGAATCAATCATAGAATAATCCATGAATTACTTTATTCATACTATTACAAATATTATCGTTTTGATTGGTTAAAATCATGAGTAAATTTGATTCTTTACTTTTCACCACATTTTGCAACATTCTAAATTAGTAGTTAAATTAACTTTATAGTTTAATTTCTATTACTTTTCGATTTGTTTTTTATTTTTAATTAAATATTTAAGCAGTACACAGATTAACATTAGACCGACCCGTAAATAATTAAAAAAATATTTATTTTAAAGCTCAATTAATTTAGCAAATGACTCAAAATTATATTCAAATAATTATTATGAAAATAATCAAAATTTGCTTTTTAAATTAAATAATTGAAACTTTTAATAGACATAAAGTAAGAAATTAGCATCGAAAGCAATATTTACTTTTCGTACTTATTTCATTACTTTATTTATTTAAATTACTGCTGACAAATGTTGCCAAACTTTGTGTATATATTTAAGAAGATCAACAAATAGTAATGAAATGCTTGTATACTTTCGCATAATTAATCTATAACAGATATAAGTATTACTCGTAGAATAATTTATAATTATGATTAGTGTTATCAAAGTTGATCATAACATTTATCAGCACTTCTTTGTTATCAGTTGTGATTACAGTCGATCACAACTAGTTAAGATTATCATTCTTTTCTTTTATCACATTACAAAACTGATAAAAAAAATGATTACAACAAAAACAAATGAAAAAATATCTTAAATTTTTTTAAAAATAAACAAATTAGTACTAATAAATTTCTTTTAAGTAATTTGCTAGTTATTGTCATCATTTCTAAAATAAAGCGAACATTTTTAAAAATTTTTGAATTATAAATTATTAAATAATAAAATTTAGATTAATACGTAACTAGTTACGGGAATTATTATAATAAATATTAATAACAAAAAATAGTTCTAACTTATTTAGGATAATATTTGTTTGGTAAAATGAAATAAAATGCTGATGGAAGTTATGATTACTATGCAAGAAATATGATCAAACGATGATAATATTAAATGGCTGATTCATAAGCAAGCGTATGTAATACTCTTTATAAATATTCATTATTTTTAAATATAATCTTTATCAGTAATCATCAATTTAAATATTATAGTTATAAAAAATTATTTCAAATCATTTTGAAAGTAATATTTATATACAATCATCATTTTAAATGCAGTCGTAATTATATGAATTTTTATAAAAATAATAATACTTTTGACATATTCTTACTAAGATAGATATAATTTCAAGTGTAATTATAAATAAATCACTATAATAAGTGTAATAATAATATTTATGAAATTCCTTATTGGAAATAATAAAAATTTAAGTGATAACGGTAATAAATTAGTTCAAATTGACATAGTGATTGATAGGCAATTATGCTGCAATACTGATATACTATATATTAAATATTAGTATTTACTAAACTTATCAACGATAAAATTGTAAAACACATTACCTATGATAATGATAATGATAATGATATTGATAAAAAATATTGATAATAAAGCAGACAATATTCATTTAAAATATAAAAAATATAGTATGATATGATGGGAGAAATGTTGGAATGCATTTATTTAACCATTATTTCCCCTTTTCGTTCCTTTTTCATTCCTCTGGCGATAGCAATCAATCATAATATGACATTTTTATCATTCTTTACAGATACAATTTTGTCATCATTATTATGATAAAATGATGATTATCTTCATCATAATAAAATGATGATTATTTATAGTATAATGGTTATATTTGTTCAGTTGAAAATAATAATAGTAATAGTACTAACTCTTGCAGAAATACTTCGTTATTATGGTATTGTAATCATGATATTTGTTTAGTTAAAAAGAATAATAATAATTACTATTACAAAAATACTAATGAAAAAGCTAATAATATTAACTAATCTCATATTATTGATAAGTAGAGTTATGGTAAATAATAGTTTATAATCCTTCCAGGTAGTGATATACGGTATTAGTTGCCATATTGGCTTTTTTCTGATACTGGTAGTCATGCTTATGGAAAGAATTACAATATTAATGCGGTACGGTATGAATTGTTTAGCATAATAATTTTGAATAATTATTGTTGAGATTTTACTTATTTGTGGTATTAATATACGGTAGCTCATTTGCTGAAGTACGCAACCACAATAGTACTGTTTTATCCTTTTTCAAAATGTAAAAAATTAGATGTATGTAAATTAAAGACAAAATTGAACTTTAAAACCAAAAATATTGTTTTTTAGTGATTTTTGTTTTTATTTTGTATAATTTAAAAATTACCAAAATTACTGTACAAATAAGTTTGGCATTTTTTATTCGTAAAGAAAAAAAATACTTTCCAATTATGGAAATTGACAAAAAGTAGAAGCAATGCTAATTTGCATAATCAGAAAGCAACGTAAAAGCATTGCTCATTTGCATGATCGACCCGCAATAAAATGATATTGCTAATTTGCATAATCGCAGAAGAAAAAAATATGGAAAAATGTGATAACCACCAACTTTACAAGAATACTGAAAGTATCATAAAGATATCAATTACGGTATTTGTTACAGTTTCATAGAGACATAAAACTACAGAAGGAATTATTGATTGATTGACTGATTGATTGATCGATTAAAAGTACTACTAATCCTCAAGATAATTAAAAAGTGATTTACAATTGCAATGACAACTGATTTAGAAAGAGAGAAATCAAAACTTGTTATCCGTTTTTATAAGACTTTTTTTTGCCAATGATGAAAACAAACAAGAGTATTAAATCATACTATGTAGCTCAATACTATCTATTTAAATTTTATCACAAAATAATAAATATAACAATTTATCGTTTTAAATAATTCATACGATTTACCAATTATTTATGCTTAGTAATTAATTTAGAATTATATCTGATTCTGATGAATTCTATTTGATTCTGATAATTATTGACACTTCCTTAGATATTTTTAACCTTTTATCAAAATTCAAGGTCATTTCATTCCATTCCTTACTTATTAAATTGTAAATAGCTCATAAATAGTCAAAAACATGTAGTAAGTTCTTAGAAGAAAAAAGTTCTTCCATCAAAACATAATAGTACAGAAGGAATTATTGATTGATTGACTGATTGATTGATCGATTAAAAGTACTACTGATTTTGAAGATAATTAAAAAGATATATATATATATATATATATATGATCATACTATATATCATCCTGTAATGATTAATTTTATACTTTTCATGGATTAACTTTTTGAAGTCAATCAAAAATTATAAACTGATTAAGTACCGGTTATCCTAAAAAATAACAAATTAGAAAATCGATTTAATATATTTTTAATCTGAGTGAAAATTATTTACACAAATTAGTCAGACGTGATAAAAAAAGTTCTCAGGATTAAAAATCAAATATAATTTATAAATTATTAGCTAGAAAAGCCTTTTACCGTAACAACAAATTGCTCATTCACAAAATTTTGAAAACAATCATAAAATTTTCACACACTAAATAATCTCTAAATTGTTTGAATCTAATAAAAATTAAAAAATATTGACCAGATATTGAAGCATAATATGAACAAACTGAATTATTTCACGAAAATCTAGACCAATTTATTTTTCAGTGTAGTTTTTTAATAATAAATTAGTAGAAAAAAAATTATATTTTCTAAGGTTTTTTTTAATATTATAAATTAAAATTTTTTTTGAAAACAAAAATTTAAAAATAAACTTTTGCTAATAAAAATTTTGAAATTTGCAAATATTAAAAAAAAAACTCACAAAGTTAATTCGTTCGTACAATTTATCTTCTACTAAAGTAAATACTTTTAAACTTGTTTACCTATTAAACGCATATTCTACATAAGTATGAATCTTTTTTTTCAGTTAAGTAATAAAATTTACTCCTAAGTTACTTCTAAACTTACTCCTAGTTTAAGAGTGATTACACTTGTTTGTTTATTTTATTCAATAATATCCTATGGAAAAAAATAACTAAATAAAAGAATCTATCTCAAATAATATGCACTAATTTAACAATTTGAAAATGATAATAATTTATGATTTTTCGTATTTAAGTACTCCCGTATAAAAATAACAAAAAACAGTAATACAAAATTACCGTATTCAAAATGCTACAAAAATATCAGTGATAAAAGATCTTTATACAACTTCTTAAACTAACAATTTAAATAATTCATTCTTCACATTTTTTTCTTGCACACTTGAATGCGTAACGAAATAGAAATTCTTTACTTCAAGGTCATGATAGATTTTTCTTATCATCTTACCAACTAATCAATATAGCAATGAAACATTGTAATTACTGCTAAAAAACACAATAATGACCTTTGACCCAACAATTTTGATCAAAAAATTCCAAACCTTACTAAATAATTGAATCAATAAGAAATTTCAAGAAATAAATAAACACAAACAAATGTAATCACTCTTAAACTAACCTATTTATCATTCAATTTGTAATAAACTGGTTAAAATAGTATATCATCAACCATTATACCAGTTACTTCGTATTGAATTTAGAATAAAAATAAAAAATGCAATGCAAGAACTATTTATTGATTACCCTCTTGAGCGGGGAAAATTTTTTGATATTTACTAGTTATTGCAAAGTCAGAAATGCAATAAAAATTTTTGCCAGATCACAATTAATACTTAATGTTATTATTATTAATGTCAATCTTGTATTTATATACATTCACACATATTACGAAGATGAAAAGTTTGAAATACTTTTCATTACAATGATAGAGAATAATTATGACAACATTAACGACAATAACACTAAAAATTATCAAGATTCTTAAATCAAAATCAAGAGCAATGCAAGAAAAAGTCAGTTCAATAATAACAATATTAAGGAATTTATGTATGCACATAGACATGTATGAATCGTATGCTCGTGTGCGTGTAAGTGTGTGAATGTGTGTAAAACGTATGCGTGAGGGTATGCGCAACTGGTATTTATGCAATAAATGTGTGCATAGATATAATGATTGAACATAATTTTAAAAAAGACTAATAAATTTCAAAGAAAAAAGAAATTGAGGAGGAATTCTAGAACTAAACATTTCAAGAAATTTGAGACTGTTACAGAACTGACTCTTTGATCACTTTACAGGACATAGATAAGTTTTTTGCAAAACTTCTTACAATTTTATATTTTTTTAAATATATTAGAATGTTGGCACACTTTTCAATACACAAAAACGACCAAATTCCAAATACTCCTCTTTCAACTTCGTCATTTTATTGTTTTAAATTTAGTCATCTGAATTGTTCAAAATTTTATCAATTTTTGGTTCATTTTCAACAGTATCTTTTGGAAACTTTGTCAAGGTATTTATGGTTTTCATCCAATTCTTTACGACTATACAAATAGAAACTGTTAGCAAGCTAAGAAGAAGACAAGACTTTTATTGAAGGTAAAGATGGAATAAAGAAATATTTAACAATGCTATGTAACCCTTTTTTTCCTTCTAACCCCTATCATATTGCTTAAATGCCCTTGAAAGCGAATGCAAAAAACGGTGGAATCTATTTTTTGCATTCCATTCCTAATCATCACAATATCAAATAATATAAAGTACTTTTAAAATATCTATAGCACTTTTCTGTTCATCGAAGTCTACACTCTTTTCACACACTTATCGAACTTGAACCTCCACATTCCGTTCACATAACAATTTCATTTATAAAAAAATTGCGAACTAATAGCATTATTGAAATCATGGAATTATGATGGCTTACAAATTCTTCCAAACAAGCTTTTTTGCAATTTGTTCGCTTACGGATACTTTCGTCACAGTAATCTTATTCCATTACTTTTCAGAGCAATGACTTCTGTTAATATGAACAATAACTTATGGAAGTACTGAATCACAAAGAACTGAACATTGTTAATGCAGCATACATACATATACATTTTCAGATCAAATTTCTTTGTAAGCCCCGCAATCTAACTGGATCATTAAGTTCTACACCTTCAAGCTGCCGATCAAGTCGCACTGCCATCTGAAATTTTAAATGCAAATAAAAATAAAAGCAATCAAATTAAACATTTTATAACAAATTTCCTACACTTTTACAGTTATATAATTATAAGAATTTGCAAATTCTACAACAATATACAAAAAATAAACCAGTCGTTTAACTTTATTTTATCACAGACTGCGCAAATTAAAATTCTAGGCTGTCTCGAAACATTAAAAATTGTGCTTATTTGGAACATGAACTGATTCGTGTCTGGAATCATATGAATGAACAAAATAAGAGCAACCACTTTCGAATAACATATTTTGAAAGCTTATCTCCAAATATTTGTAATATACTACCTTTCTCAACGACAAAAAAAAAAACTAACTTCAATAGTATTCACATGCTTCACTTCCCAAGCTCTTCGCACAAATGATGTTATCAAACATTTATGTAAACTGCCCACACGACCGATCCGACCACATCGATGAATATAATCCGAAATTTGTCGCGGAAAATCATAGTTAACAACGTGTCTCAGATGAGGGAGATCCAAACCTCTATGTTTTTTAATAAAAAGACATGATAAACAATGTTTAGTAGTTTGTACTGAGACAGATCTCAATACAAGTACATAAAACTAGCAAAAACTTACCAATATCTTCATAGAAAAAACCTTTAATGAGTAAAAAAGAGCATCAAACTTGCCAAATTAAATTATTTATTAAAAATTACCTGCTAGCAACATCAGTTGCTACAATGATTCGCGTTTTTCCACTTCTCATGTTATCTATTGTATGTATCACTTGATGACCTCCTGTTAAAAAAGCATTCTCAATGCCAAATTTACTCAGCGAAGTTGATACAAAACTGGCGCTTTCAGAATTCTGAAAGGAAATAAATGCAACAGCAAACAAAGGCACAATTTTCTCGAACATTGTACGAGAGGCTAAATGTTGATGAATAAAATTTTAGTTGAATCAAACATTTTAATGCTATGGACCTAATAACTTAAATGAAGTCAATTTTCATAATTTATTTACAAGCAAAACCATAAAAACCAAAATCAGATAAGGTTAACCTTACAGAAGATTAACGTTTGACCACTTGATAAAGAAAATCCTTTTTGTATCATCTCCTTTAATTTATCCAACTTGTCCATTTCCCTAATTCTGATAAAAGTTTGTTTTACGTGAGGCATAATGAGATGCAAATTTTCAGTTTTAACACAATATAAATGTCGATCATTAACTATATTTGTGGCAATTTCACGCAATTTATCCGGACAAGTGGCAGAAGAAAAAATCAAACGTGCGCCATCTGAAAAGTACAAAAAATGTATCAAACTAAGAATCATTTCAAACGTGGAATAAATACAAAAAGGATGGTTAAATAAAGTTTCAATCGTTATGAGGAAAATTAAAAGAACATTTCACTGTCTTGATATTATGAAGCAAGCAAAAACGAAAGTTTAAAACCACAAAACTAGCTTCACTTAGTTCTCAAACTTCGTAATTAGCACAGAATTTTTAACATAAAACATAAACTGTCCACCTGTAACATTCTCATCAAGAGCAGAGTGTTTTATTTTGATAACTCGAAGTAAACTGAGCATATCATCTAGGAAGCTATCATCAAGTAACATATCTGCTTCATCCAAAACAACATAATCAACAGCTGATGTTGAGCAAAATTTCGGAGAAAGTCCCGGAGTAGTAACAAGTACATCCCAATCCTTAAATCGAAATTTAAAAACCAGAATAAACAAGAAATTTAAGTGCAACTGTATTTTATAATACATAATGAAAGAAGCTTGAAAATTTCATCCCATGCTTAAAAAGTTTAATAAAATATCATTATTGGCAATTAACTAGTTCTCCAAAAATTAGTTCTGAATTATTCTTACATACTCGAAATATTTAAGAACATACTTCAACATTATTCAGATTCTCTTTCTGGCAATCTTCATTGCCTCCAATAATTTTAATACCAGTATTTTTAGCGAGATTTTCAATCATAAACGATGTTTGCAGACGTAAAGCATGTGTAGGAACGAATACAATACCTGTGAAAATAAATATACTTTGGAATCTACATAATAATCATGAGTTGTCCCAAAATACACATGTAGCTTGAATCCATTAAAACAAGATTCCAAATTTCAAGATTGTTAACTACAATTAATTACATATAATTTCTGACCACCTTTTAAATTGAAATAAGACTGAAAAAATAATCTGAAAAACAAACATTTTGCAAGTCGATCCATAGTGTTTTTTAAAATAGATAGTAAAGGTGCTGCATATGCTACAGTTTTACCAGAGCCTGTCTCTGCAGTTATAAGAAGATGCGCGGCACTTTTGAAAGCCCGAAATGATCGACGCTACAAACTTAGAATTATATTTACTTACTTGAGACAAGGACAAAAGCGAATATTCATGTCAGAATTTAAAGAAATAAACTGTTCAACAAATCAAACGATGAATATCGTACTTGTATGACTGTTGGCATACGAAAACCGCACTCCCGAACATTACTGATAATTACCGGATCCAAAAAGCCAATATTTTCATCCCATGAAAACGCTTCATCACGACTGAATGATGGATGCTAAAAAATTTGAGATGCACAAGCATATATGATTAGAATAAGGTACTAATCTAGCAAGATAACGAATCAACTATTACTAAACGCAAAATTCTATTTCTAAAGGTACTGATACTATTTCATTATATTGTGGTGAAAACTAAATTTTTTCGTCAATGGAACAATGGTAAACCAATCGTTTTTGTATTTGCTTTTTACCCAGTACTTGCTGACCAGTTCTATGTTACCAGGAGGATATTTCATATTTTCATAATGATTATAATCCTTCCTGGCGCAATCTGAAATCATCTAATTAAATCACTATTTTTCACAACCGGCATGATGGAAATACAAATATCAAAATTAGAAATCATACTGCAACAGAACATGAAAATTTTTTTCGATTGCCAGCAAAACTTAAGTAACTTTAAGCATAACCCTTAACAAATATAATTTCTGAAATATACCAATCACAACTTTTGCAGTACTTCGATCAACACCATATAATTTCTGATACTCTTGTTCTGCCTTTTCCTTCCTTGCTTGCTTCAATCGATTTTTACGTCCAAATGCCACAGGTTCAGTGATTACAGGCAATGCACTAGAAATTTTGAAAATCAAGAAACCTTTATAATACTGTAATGCCCCAAAAACAATCTCTAAATTTTTAGCGAACTTTTGCTAATTAAGAAAACTATTTGTAAAGATCAATTTAGGCTAAGAACTGGAACACTTTAATGTAAATGCAGTGGAAGAAAACCAGGACTGTAAACTGAATAAAGCATTACTTGACTGCTCTGTGAAAACGAAAGCTCCTTTCATGCACCAAGTTACAAAATATGAAGCTTGACTAATTTGGTACCTGTTGTTTTCCTTAAATTTTGATCGTAAAAAATTTGATGTCCAACCTTCTTCTTCATCTTGCGAATTTTCGAACTCACTCTGGTAATCATCCGAAATGCTGCCCATTTGCTTTGATCGTAACTTTACAGGTATCAATTTTTTTCCAAATGAACTTAAGGTGCCAAACTGCCATGAAAATTAGCACATACAACTTTTAAGATATTAAGAATTTAGTATTGGGAAAAAAAATTTAAGGTTAGGTATAATAAAAAAGTGATTATAGTTCAAATAATTACAGAATCTGCAGGTTTCTTTCGTTTTCCTGTCTTATGAGTAGCTGACAATCGAGCATTTGCTGCACTCATTGCAACACCGATTGAGTAGAATCGAATTGCTGCGAACTGCGTCCTTATCCAAAGCATTATTTCTTCACTTACAATTTATTCACGTATTTTAGCTTCTTTGTCAAATGAATATGTTTTGCTGGACTCGGATTGTTGTAAAAAACAACTACATATAAAAGCAAGATATATTTGGGCACCTAAAGATTTTTTCAATGCATCAAAAAAAAGTTGAAATTTTTAGCGAATAAAACTTATTTAGTATGTCATATAAAGCTTAAAAAAGTCCAGAAAAGACTAGGAAAGACTTGTCATATGAATCTACTCCTAATCCAATACTCATTTCAATCAAAGCTATCACGTGAGTTACACGTAATACTGTTTTGAATTTCCCATCTACTTTTTCGCAAATTGAACTAATGTTTGAAAATAATGGATTGCATTTTTCTCTAAGCAAAAGTGTACAATGCTTCTTAGAATTACTCATTACTCTATAGCATCTATAATTTTTGTCTCCAATTTCTCAATGATTCAAACTTTTAGGTTTAAATTCAATTAGCATAAATCCTTTTTTTCATGATCACTTTCAAAGATATTAAATTTGAAAGTCAAGAAGAAAAGATTAAATTCTTGAAAATTTGTTTCCATACTGTGTTTTTTCTGAAAATTGTGATATTATATGATTAAAATTGTCGATTTATAATTAATTGGAAAAACTCTGGACAAAGCATGCATTGGAAACGTAATTATAACAGAAATTTACTTAAATTTCGTTTGTCCTACAATCCTTTTTCACGTTTTATGAGCATCTGTTTGCTTCAAAATAATATTGAAATGATATATTCCAATATGACCTTACAAATTATTTCGGGCTATAACTTATTTGGCGCGTATTCCCATTTTTAATTTTAAGACCCAAATGGCCAAAGTTTTCAAAAGTTAGTCAAAGTTAACAAAAATATAACATGAGAAATTTTAGAGAAAAGGACTTAATAATGGACAAATAGAAAGTGTTTTTATATAATGAACTAGCAGGCAAGAATTGAGACTATTTGTTTGTTAATTACTTAAAGTGTGTTTTGATTGTTATTATTGGTATTAAAATATAATTAGACTTGTGAAAGAAAAATTATAGGATGAGTGTATCTCATAAAAATCGCACAGTGCAAAGAAGACAAGTCCGAAAAGTTGGACAACGATTGAGACGATTGCAAAAAGCAAAGAAACTCAAGCGATATATGGTGGATGCAGTGAGAGATGTTAAAGATAGGAAGCACGTTGGTTCACGTAAACGAGCTCTTGATGTTAGTTGCTTTTGTTTTTTCATAATTTATCTATTCACGGTAGAAACACACAAAATTGTTTTCTCGAATTTCGAGTAAACTTATAAATAGTTAACTCATTTTCAGTTTCATCGTCATTAATTTTTGATGTTTTTGGTTGTTTGTATACTAAATTTTCAGTTCTAACCATTGTTTTTTTAGTATCACGCATTTTAAGTTATGATTCATCTTGATATGTAGGAATATCATTTTATTTGTTTTTAAACATTAAAGCATTTTAATTATATGTAATTTCTAACTATGTGATTCGCATATTTAATCGATTTTAGTCTCGAAGGTAAAATAAAAAACATCTTTGATTTATTTCACTTTATTATACTTAATGGTTTTTTGTATTTCAGATAAAGGAAGATTGGATTTTGGATCGCGAAGAAGTTGCTAAAAATGAAGAAAATGATGAAATCCTTCCACTAGACATGCTTGATGCAGACATTGATTGGGAAAATAGCGCCTTTGCAGCAAACATCAGGCGTTTAGAAAAAGGTACATATTATTCAATTTTGAGTACGACTTTTCCTTCACATGTAAAGGATCAATTTTTATATATGTGAAAGAATAATTTGATCCAAAATTCAATAAACTAAGATATTTCAGGTTCATTGAATTTCAGTGCTCTCTTATAAATCTATCAAAGTATTATTGGTTTATTTATCGAATAGAGAATATATTCATAGTTGAAAACAATAAATTGATGATCACTGTTGATCTTTCATATCTCTCATCTTAAAATATTCAATTTTTAGCAAAAAATGAGACTGAAATTGATGACATTGAAAGTAAAAGACGTAAATTTCGAGACACATTAGAGGATAATGAGCAGGAGTTGTTGCCAATCAAAGTTGGTACCAAAGTCATAAGGCAAACTCGCATAATAGACGAATCAGTGAGCAAAGGTTTTTTCATATTATTCTTTACTTTCATATTGATTTTTTTTCATGACTCTGCTCGGAATAGTTTTTAAATGCATAATTATTCAGAAGATAATGAACAACAAGAAACCGAAGAAAGTGGTGATTGTAGTGTGGATTTATCAGAGCTGAGTGCAGCAGAATTATTAAAGATACGCCATGAACATGTGGAGGAAGCGAAAGATAAAATTAGCAGTTTAGCGCACGCAATCATCGCGGATCCTCAAGTCGAAGTATATGTTGCTTATTTCCTAAATTTTGCTGAATAATCTTATTTCATATGCTACAAAGTACTAGTCATAAAAATACTGTTTCAGAAAATAAAATAAAATGTTTCTTCGAACAATTTAACGATGATTAAAAAGAAATTAAAAGAAGTCAAATTGTAATTGAGATTGGGATTTTCATTGCTACAGGCATTTCCTTTATACATTCTTTGGATTTGTATAAGTATTGAATATTTATTCTCTATCTGCATAGTCCTTGAGATATATTTAGTTTTTGAACTAAGCATTTTTCATTTTTTAGAGTTTCAATTCCCTCAACATTTAAGGTACAGGCTTTAAAACATCTATATTTGCTTTGTATTGGAGAAGGTGTCCATTCATTGGCACGTGAAACTGTAATGAAAATTGCAACTGTTTCATTGGCCGAGGTTTTTGTGGACATAATTCCTGGTTATATTATAAGGTTGTAATTTCAATCAAAATTTTCAGGTTCAGTTTTATATGAACATAGTTAAGGTACTGATTTCATCGATTTTTGAAATCATAAAGGTTGCATTTTGACTTTCAGATCTCGTACAGAAGAAGAGTTAGCCCAAAAACTTAAAAAGGAAACAAGAAAATTGTATGATTTTGAACAAACGCTTCTTCGATATTATTTGAAATACCTGCAACATTTAGAAAAATATGCTGGAAGTAAGTTGGATACCTTTCACACTCCTTTCTTTGCGCGAAAATTTAGTCTTTTCATCTCGTCTATATGTTACGCAACAGTTCAACCGATAATCTTATTTTTCATAAAGTATCTGAAATTTATATCAAACTTATCTTTTTATATAATAATCAGATAAAAATCCGATCTGATTTTTAGATAAGAATGAGATTAAGACATCTAACTTAAGTTATTAATAGTTGAAGAGGTTATAGAATTATGCAAAGTTTCCAAACAAAATAGTTTTGATCAGCTTGCAATAATATGCACGAGATGTCTCTCACGAATACTTGTTTCTGCTCCTCACTTCAACTATGCATCAAATATAATCAGCTTTTTAGTTCGGCTCACCGTTTCAAATTGTGAAGAAGTATGTTCTTTGGCATCAGCATTTATTATTTGTTGAGTAGTGATGATTTTCTTGTTCGTACAAATTCACTTTGATATCGCTTGATATTAAGCTTTAATTTTTTTACCAGGCTGTCGATATATGTTGCAATTCACTGGGTCAGCTATTTTACAACGATTTGACTTTCCGTGTGTCTGCAATTGGGGCCAAATTCATTTCATCAATAGTCAATAAAAGAAAAGGAAACGTTCCTCCATCTCTGATTGCTACATTTCTGAAATTGAAAGTGAAGGTCATCACTTATGATATCGTGCAGCAGAGACAAAATTATCTTATTGTAAATGATGTTAGCAAATACTAGAAATGTACCTTGCTGATTGTAAGTGCTTGTACGGTATGCTTGTTTTTTTACGTCTTTAATTTTAGGAAGTGGATAAGAGTGAAAATAATCAGGAAAAAAAGAAATTAATGAATAAGAAACGCTTGCTTAACAAGGAGAAAAAAATGAAAAGCAAGAATAAAGTGAGTTGGGATTTTAAAAGAGTGGCATGATTATTGAAATTTATAGTCTAACTGTATGAAAATTATAAAGTTTCCTTATTGAAAATCAAAAAAAAAACAAGCAGTTTATTGTTCCTTTATTGAAAACAATAAATCAAAACAAGCAGTTTTGATTTATTGTTTTCAATAAACAATAAATCAAAACTGCTTGTTTTGATTTATTGTTTATTGAAAACAATTTTATTGAAAACAATCCTTACTTCATCATTAGTTTTAACACGATGTTTGTCTAATTTAGTAAACTTAAATCACTAGGGATAATAGCTGCGCAGAACGTCATTTAAGCACTTTTTTTCAAGCAAATTTTAATGGTATATCTGCTCTGTGATGGATTTACAAATTACATTCTAGTAATATATCTGTTTATCACAGATTTTTATTATCTTTGATTTATTTGGACTAACTTTTGCTCCTATGTAAGCTACCTTTGAATCATTATAGTTCGCGAAACAATTAAAAAAACTACAAGCTGATTTAAAAGAAGCAGAAGCGACTGAGTCTGCATCATCAAAACTGTCATTTGTATGTTTTTTTAAAACTGGTTGTCTTATCATTAGTCTTTCATGAAAATATGTAATTTTTAAACTGATTTCTAATAAAATTTAGAGTTGATTTTTTTAGAAATATCGGATAGGAACTGCAGTCAGTTTTACTTCATTCTTTTATTAAGATTTTTTTATTTAAATTTTAAATTATACCCATTATTTAATTGAATTATAGAGGTGGATCATAGAGAATTGAATAGTTTGACATGTTTTTGTGAAGTATGCTTGTAAGCAGTTTCAGGCAACTGAAACGATGAATCATGTTTTCGCTACGTACTTCCGTGTTATAAAGCGATTACCCACAACAAGGTTACTGGAGCCAGTTTTGGAGGGTTTGGCTAAATTCGCACATTTGATTAATGTTGAATTTTTTGATGATATGATATCTGCTTTAGCATCATTGGTTAATCAACAAGTATAGTTTTCATTTTGTTTTCTTCTAAAAAAATTTTTTGTTTTCAGCATTAAATATATCCTGTTAAAAATTTTTTGAAATCAGTTATAATACCTGCGTGTAATTCATTTAAGAAATCTTTCCTTTCTTGCAGATATTTTTATGAAATGATGCCCATTTAAATAGAATGTTATAGCATTTGCGACTAATAGATTCAGTGCGATGCATTTATACAGTATTCGTAATGCTCTCTGGAGAAGGAATTGCTCTAAATATCGATCCTTCTAAATTTTACTGGTCATTGTATCGTTTATTACCCACTTTAGCATTTGAAAGGCATCGAGGTTATAGTTTTTTCGAATGTTCCTCAATAAGTTTTGTATGGCTTATTTTATTTTATTCATTGTTAAATCTTTGTATCCTAATTGTAAATTTAGCCCACAAAAACCTACTGTGTACGTTTTACCAAAAACAATTTTCAGAAAATTTCACAAGCATTTTAATGTTGACTTTACGCACGTTAGATTTGATGATTACTTGTCGCCGCAAACAAGTTCCTGTATTTCGTGTGGCAGCTTTTACTAAACGGTTGCTTGCTGTAGCTTTTTTCATGCCATCAGTTGATGCTGCATCGATTCTGTTATGCGTTAGATCATTTTTTATTGTAAGTCTCCAGTATTCAAACTCGATAATTTTTTGCACTTTTTTTCTCCAGCTCCTCTTTTCATATTAGTAGAATGAGTTATTTTGCCAAGTTCCAAGTTTTGCTTCCCAGGACAGTTTGTATGACTGAATACATTTTTTATTGTGTTCACGACTTTATTTTTCTAAATTTTTAACAAAAAAAGTACAAACAGGTAATATTTTCATTTATTTCAAGATATCGAGGTTAGTTATTAAATTTTTTCCCAGTAACGTTATAGGCATATCCAAAACTAGATTGTCTAGTAGAGGATACTGACGAAGTTTGTCAAATGCAATCCTTCAAGCCGGAAATTGATGATCCGGATTGTTGCAGTGCATTAACTTCTTCAATAATTGCAGAACTTCTGCTTTTTGTAAAGGTGACTCATAGAAATCGTTGTAATTAGTAGAGTTGTAAAATAGATTAACTAATAATTTAAATATTAGTTAATTGCTCAAATTTCTTAACAGTTATCATTCTAACAAATATTGTCAGATTAGGCATATGTGAAAATTTGGTATTTTTGTTGTCACTAGGACCAAAAAAAGTACCGGCAGCTTGTGTTTCAGCATCCCGATCGAGTTGTTTCAGCAGTTGCACGGTATCTTCAAGCAAAATTACCATCAGCAGGACCAAATCATCTTCCACCAAAATACTCAGCAAAGTGAGTTCATTAAGTCAAAAGAGTAAGGAAAAGAAGATGTATATATTTGTGCTACATTACTGAACAATTTTAATCTATAACTGGCTAACTTAAAAATATATAAATTTTCGGATGGGTTTCAGAAAAGCGTATGATTGGTATGAAGTAAACAAGGATGAAAAAAATAATGCTTCGGAATCAGTCTTTATAAAACAAATTGACGCTTTTGCAAAGGTGTTTTCCTTTTGCACGTAATAAATGGATCTGTTTAGTCTCACAAAGTTTCCACTTGCTGGAAGACTAGAAGACTATTTATTGTTTACTTTTTTGAATAAGTGGAGAAAATAGTTTGTGGTTCTGAAAATTATTAGTGTTTTCAAGACTTCACTTGAATATTATTGCAGAAGCAGAAAATTCAGTTAACTTCAAAGACACTGCATTCAGTGATATGCAAATGGATTGAAAGCAAGTCTTAAAGAATATTGCTATCTCTTATTTATTAATTTGTGATAATATTTTGTTGAATTTCATGATCCAAGGTATTTCCTTGTAAAAAAAAGGATAGTTGGTCGGTGCTAAAATTGCTCTGTGTGGTTGTTTCCGCTTGATAATGTTACTGGTTTGTTTGATACAAAAGTGTTTGCATTCCTTACTTTTGATATAATGTTATTAATTTGTTTTCAATAAAAACAATTTAATTTACAAATAATCATAAGAAGAATTCTTTTTACATTTTACCTTATCAGGTGCTGATTGCCACCAATGAACTAAGTGCAGATGGTAATGAATTGATCTTCACAAACTACGAAAGAAAATTTTCTCAGAACAGGGTCCATACTATTAATCTGTATTTATATTAGAAGATTACATCACTAATTTTGTTCGAAGTAATTTTTGACTTCTGTCTAGTGTACTTGCCGAAAAGCAATACAACTTACGTCACCTTTCGTAGCTTCACAATATAAATTAGAGCTATATACATAAGAAAAATGACCCTTCGAACAAATCACATCAATACTACCACCAAATTTGGCTTCTCCTTTCTCGTTGATTATTCGTTTTGATAGTGATGTATCATCACTGATGCTCTAAATTAGAAGAGTGTTATTTCGAGAGTAAAAAATAACAGATCTGATTCTTAAAATCCCTAGCCAATATCAGTAATTGTGAATATGGTACCTCAAGCATGAGATTCTTCAAATCCAAGTTATTGCATTTTGCACTCTTTTTTGTTTTCTTTGGAGTCACACCATTTTCAGCTAGTTTATAAGCTTTATCTTGTGATGTACCGATCAAGACAGTTTGTTTTCCAAGTTTTTTGCTAACTTTTTCATTTTGTTTGTATACTGAAACCAAGTCTGCATGGTCTTCCTAAAATCAGATGAAATTAAAATTAGCAAGCAGAAAACAAATGAATGGTAATTACAGTGGAAACATGTGTAGTATGTCTGCAATATCCCCAATTTTAATTGATATTTTATGCAAATTATTGAAATATAATTTGTGATTATTAACAAAAGCTCTCAAGTTATATTTGAAAGAAAGTAAAGATTCCACTTTCCGATTTTCATATTTTGTGAAATTCAATTCATCAATATCAACTAATAATTACCAACGTCAATGAATGTGGTGCAGCAAAACGCTTATAAATACGTGGTCGGACTTCACCTTCTACGTGTTTACCCTCATTTTTGTTTCCAATAACTTTGTTCTGAAATATCTGATCTATAATTAAAAGATTTTGTGAAATCTTAAGAATTTTTGGAATAAAAAGTTGCTTCATTCTGTAAATGAAAGTTATTCCAATTTGTAACTGTTTAAAACTCACATTTTAAAATTATTTTCCCTAACAAAAAAAATGATAAAACTTTTATTTGAAAAGCTTACTAATTTCATTTTACCAAGCTGAACTTTTTCAAGAATTTTTTTATCACTGATATCAGCTTTAGAATTGTCTGGACATGATATCAAAGGTGATGGACATGAAGTAACTGGTGGGCAGTTACAATTTCTTTTCATATTACTGAATGCTAGTGCATTTATCGGCACTAACGAGAATATCACGTAATAAAGCATTTTTGGATTAAGCTGAAAGTAATTTTGACCATAATTACATATTATTGCAGATTTTGATTTGAATATTTAAAATGGTAAACAATAATTTAGTAATTTATTTGTTAAATTTGTAAGTTTTTTTTTGAAAAAATACGAATATGCTTAAATTACATCTTAAATAAAATATAATTACGTGGGCTATTTAAAATATTAAGTGTACTTACTATATTGTGTTGAGTAAATTTTTTTAAAATCAACAAGTCTATTTTTCGAAGATAAAATTTAGTTTTACTTTTTGTAACAAAATAAATCT